CGAGTCGTGCTATAGTGCCTCCATCGCAAGCTCAGGCCCCTCCCAGCGTAGCTGCTTGGATTCTCTCGTTTAGTGCATGCATATATTCACCACGGAACGAAGCACCACAATACATGTGACCAGAAAGGCCAATGAGAGTGTATCTGGTAATGATTACTGCACTACGAGTCCCGATTATGACGCACACTGTCCTGGGCCAAAGTTGTTATCTGCGAGAAACATCATCGACACCGTCACTATACCCCCGACTCCGGGAACAATGAGGACGCCAAAGCACGTGTAGTGAAACCAATCCGGTATGAGGGTATGACGCTTCTTCCACACGTACCAGAAAACCAGCATCAATAACGACGAGAACTGGTCCGCCGCCAGCCACGACATCATCCATGCCCTCTGCGACGTAGTGCTCCCGTTCGGGTGGAAGCGGGTCATGCCGTATATCAGGGCATATGGCGTAACAAGCGCGATGAGGAAGAGCGCGAGGATAGTCCACGCCTCATACGGAGTGATGGCTTGATGCTTCTTGAGGTCATCCGAATCCTTCGGTGGGGGTCCATCGTGACTGAGTGTAGAGACAGTGAATCTCGCAATATGTTGTCTATCGGTGCCTTTCCTTCTGCCGTCATCGTCGGGAACGAGATGATATTCCTGTTCTGGTCCGCCTTCTCTGGTTTGGACGAAGAGACGCTTCGAGTTGTGCGTAGACCGCGTGTCGATGCGCATGTTCACCGCAACATACGATCCTCTCCCCCCTCGACCAATCATCGAGTCGTGGGTACCCTTCTCCGAATCGGGCTGGCTGCCCTCACTCGTAGCAGTGCCGTAGGGTTGGGTATGACTCGAAGTGTAGTCTACTTGCTGTGCGGAGTCGCGAGGCTTCACTGTACCTATTAAGCCATCGTATAGGACCGTGACTGTATTGCCTTTGCGGCTTATGTTCCCCGTTCTCCTGAGTGACTCTTCGAGGATGGGCGTGCGAAGGATGTGGCCAGATGCATAGCTGCCGACGAATGCAGCGCAGAGGAGGTTCATCACCGACATGATTGCGTACGGGAACACGGATAGCCCGTACGCCGCGTAACCCCAGCGCGGGATCTGGTCCGACGGCGTGAAGTACAGCGTGAAGATTGCGAAGACGATCTGGAAAACGGACAGTAGCACGTTTGTGATGCCTGGGGGATAGTGAATTTTGAGCCCCTTGGTGTCCTCCAAGTCATGCTCAATGATGTCTTCGGTGTACGCCTTGTGCGCCGGCACTGCCAAGGAGTATCCCTGCGGTGGGTGGGCTGCGCCATGTAAGGATCTACTGTCGGCCTTGACTCGAATGTATGCCCTCTTTGTTTCCTCTTCGTCAAAAGAGATGCAGGCCAACGGCAGTGACTTGGACGACTCGGACCCTGGTGTAGTGGCTCCCGGGCGCTGCGGCTGCGGCTTGGAAATGTCGGCAGCAATACTTTGAAAAAAAACCAGTCAGCTTTCCCCGTCGCATCGAACTTCATTAAGAACTCACTCTATCGCAGGTGGACTCTGGGAACGGTCCAGCGGTTTCGTTTCAGCCATACTAGAGCTGGTAATGAGAAGTACTAGTCAGATGTCTCCAGGTGTACCGGACTTGCATAGGAATACTCACTTCGCTCCCAGCGAGTCAGACCCTTCAGGTAAAACAGTATATATAATCTCCCCTTTCTCGCTAGGTTCCCAGTCGACGTCTCTGACTATAACCAGGAGCGCGCCGTGATGGAGCGCTGCGCGAATGTCGTTGTCATTGCACTTGAATTGTTCGGCGAGGAGGATGATCGTCCTTGCGAGCGCGAAGAAGGGTAGAAAGAGCGCGGCGAATGATAAGCACGCCCTCCACTTGTACGCGTGCGTGCGTGTTACGCGCTCTGTGTAACGTTCGATCTCTGCGCTCGCGGAGATGGAGACAGCATGCAGGAAATAGTTGGTGCTCAGGTAAACCAGGAGTTTCCATCCGATGAGAGCGTTATTGTAACAGAAGTAGGAAGGAATCGGAGCCAACAAGACTTTGGTTGTTGGTGCCGACTCAGTTGGAAGTATGAAGAAGGCAAGAGACAGAGAGGAAAGCCAAGGGTGCGTATCGGATCCAGGTGCGGGTAGACATTGTGCGCGGCTCTGGCTGTTTGCGTACTGCCATGATTTAAGGTGCCCGCAATTGCACCCGTCTCAGGCCTCGTTGCGACCTGCGTGTGGCGCTGAACAACATAGTCTGGAGTTTGGCTCTGTGAGAGTCGGCCCACGGGGTATAGAGCCTCATGAATCTAGCACACACGCTGTTCCACTGTGCGAAGACAGCGCGGCAAGGCTTCTACGTGGTCACAATCATGAGATAGAAGCGAGGCAGGGCTCAAAAAACAACAGAACATCGACAGTGCATCGACTTTTTTGACATAAGTGCCGTTGACAGAAACGGAATATTAGTCGGAGCGCGCTCCAGTTGGCAGGAGCCGAGAGAAACAAAGGCACGAACTCGGTCAATCAACACCGAATAGCGACTGCTCATCGCGGAACTGTTTGGAACCGAGTCAGGGTCCCGCTGCCTGCAAGTGGCTCCTACCGGCATGCCAGGCGTCGATTCGGTGACATTAAAACTTGGTTTTTGGGCCGCACTAGGCTTCCACGACCCACACGTACATGGCCACATCCTGCTGGAATCCATTATCTGCCATCGAGGTTATGTCACTAATCTGTGTTTGCAATGACGAAAACACACCGTTTCTGGATGGCTCTTGCCACTTGCTGGCTTTAACGCCCCGGTGGTCAGAGAACGGTAGGTTGAAGCGTGGCCACGGCCACTTGCAACTCGTGCCGGTGGATTCGGGGTGCGTCCGGGCCATGCGCAACACTACTGTCCTAAAATAACAAAAGGATTATAGGCGTGAGGCATCAGAGTCACGCTGCACTGTATGTTCACGAAGTGAAAATTTTCCGTGCCTATCTACGCAACCACAGCGATTTGGCCACGTACAGGGACATTCTCCTTACTTCCAGGCTCCGGGAATCCCTGCACGTCCACGCCTTTCCTGAACATCAAGCAATGGGTCGAGCCGCCAAAGTGGAACATCCCGATCTCGTCCCCCTTCTTCACATGGTCGCCCTCGCGCACAGTGATCTCGCACGTCGACACCTCCGCCATGCCGACGCCCAGGAAGGCCATGAGGCCGATCGCGGGGTTGTCCGCCTCGATGAAGATGATCGCGCGCGTCGCGACGGCGGTCAGGTATACCTGCGAGTCGGTCTCGCCCCCCTTGTCGATCTCATCCCCGTCTTTGGCGCTCCCCCGCCGTTCGGGGTCGCCCACGCCGCTGAAAAGCGGCTCGGAGTAGTATGTGCCCTCCTTGACGTACGCCCGGACAACGCGTCCGTTGACGGGCGCGTGCCAGCGATGGTACGAGAGCGCGGAGAGGAACGCCTGGTAGACCGTCCCGCCGACGAAGAGTGGCGCGCGCTCGTCGTGGGCGAGCATGTCGAGCACGGAGTACAGCTGGCCCTTGATCCAGAACGCGTCGCGCAGCGCGACGTTGTGCGCGACGTTGTACGCCTTCGACTCGCACGCGTTCGCGATAACGTTGTCGTCGTCCGGTGCAGCGATGGGGCGCGCATGCTCCCTGTACTTGCGTGTGAAGAACGCGTCCCAGGACGCGAAGCCGTGATAGGGCTTTGAGGGGTCGCACTCGAAGAGATCCTCGAACGCGTGTGAGGTGCCCGCAGCGCCGTTCGCAACGGCGGAGAGGTCGGACTTGCCGTGCGCGCTGAACCAGCCGCTCGGGCCGTCGTGGAGTGCCTGCTTGGCCGAATCCTCGGAGCAGAGGAACGCACCCCACGCGTCGAGGACCTTTTCCAGCATCTGGTTGACATCGGGGTCGAGGAAGAACGCGAAGCCGCTGGGGGTACCCATAGGCCAGTCGAGGACGGCGTTGATGGGCACGCCGACCATGCCGACGCGGTGCGAACTGTCACTCCAGTGCGGTGCAGTGGTCATGAGGTGGTTAAGCAGTTGAAGCATGTGCTTGTGGTCCCTAATCTGCTTGTGGCCGGTCGGGTCAGACGAATAGGGCTTCTTGGAAGGGATCTGCTCGAACATGGACTGCACGAGCATGTAAACGCGCGTGTTGGTCTCGATGAGCGTCTTGAACTCTTGTATAATGGGTTGAATGTCTTTCGGGTTCTTGTCGACATGCTCAATGACGCCGTTCAGCCATTCCTTGTGGACGCGATGGTCTCCAGGAAGCCAGTCACCAGTTCTGTGAAAAGGCATGCATCGGCACATATGTCTTCAGTCGAGTCGAAGGCGTGAGCTCACCTGTGTACATGATGTTCCTTCGGAACGTCCTCATGTCGAGCATGGATCTTCGTCTGTTTGCTCATTATACTACTAGATGAAGAAGTTGTGGTAGGGAAGGATCAGTACGAATGCCAGGAGTTGGAAAGTAGGATGGTGAACCGAGAAGTTCATGAGGGCGACGGTTTGCATACACCGGCCAGTCTGGCACCTCGTCACTGGAGTACTGACCACCGAACTACGTCACACTGGTCACACGGCCCGACAGATTTACTAGTACCACTCTACGGGTCAGCCAGTTTCTTTTCTGTAAAGCAGCGGCTACGAGTTGGAGCGTCATATTTACGATCCACGAACTGGGGCGGTCAAAATCACGGAAATCAAGTCAGTAAAGAGTAGACATCGACATAAGCGACCCATAACGATTATAATGGCACTTAGCATCCGGATAAGCCGCTGGGCCGTTGACCTTTAGCTGTAAATTTGTCTGCGTAGGACATACACCGCAAATTAGTGGAAACACGAGGGCATTCTTTCATGCCTGCGATTGAAAGTTCGGACCACGTTGAGGCGAGGTGGCGAGGTGGCGAGGAAGCTCCCAAGCCAAATTCGACACTGGAGGTCCAATTTGTATTCCGGCGCTTAGATTGCGATGTGCGCGCCGTGCCGCGGCCCGCCACAGCCCGCCACCTCGGCGTTCGCATTCTCTTGCCCACGTTCGACTCGGACGCTAATAGTGCATAACATCGAGACATAGCCAGGCTGTTAGTATGTACATCTAAATTTCCCACCTCAAAACGAGGCTCATATTTGAGGCCAGTTCTACTATATAGGTACAGCCCGGCTGCATATGCTTGCCAGGCGCAGTGGGTGGTAAGACGAGCGAGGTGCTAAGTGTGTTTCGAGCTGCCCAAGCCTGATACTATGTCACTGAATACGGCCTCGCGTCATCCAAATTCCAGTTTGGCTCGATGGCTCAAGGGCGGTGACAGGACACATGTAGTACACCAGGTGAGTACCTGATGTTTCGCAGACATATTTGGCCTCGCACTCTGAGCTGACAAGGCGCGTGAAAGATGCTTCGCGATCTCAATAACACGATTGTCCGCTACGACTCGACTAGAATGCTACCCGGGCTGCTTTCGGGACACGCGGTGACTTGCGATGGCGGCGAATCGATCGCTGCCTCTCCCGCTACGCCAAACTGCAGATCATAGGCCTCCAAACCGTGGCGCTCAGAGGCTTCACGAACGGATTGGATCCGCGTCAGTGCGCCGATTATCGACAGTGTAAATCCACTTACATATATCGTCAACAACAGGCATCCCGAATTGTATGGTTCCTCCTGTTCTATTGAGCGCGAAGTAGATGATGGTCAACACCAGCGGTACTGTCAGTATCCGTTGGAAGAGACTTGGCATACCCTGGAAAATGCCAGTGGCGATCCACGAGCGCGTCGGTGTAGCCTCTGATCCGGAGAGAGGTGCGTGAGTATGACGTTCATGCTTGACGTGACTTGATAGAACGCACTTGTCAGGTATGGGAGCGGCGACAACCACGTTCGCAGCGACTAGTGCGCTGACAACAACGGCAAGAAACAGCGTGGACAAGTTGAACATCCTAGCGTCGAATGTGCACTTCAAAAAGCGAGGGTTATGTACGACTCGGAAACGGAGGCTGGTCCATGGTCAGTCGTAACTCGGAAACACGCCTACAGGGTTAACTCACTGCTCTACACCAAGTATGAAAGGTAAGGTGGCCGCCCAGGCGAACTGGGGACCAGAGCGGCCACCATGCTTGCTTACATAGGTAACCCCTTCGTTGTTGCGATCTCGAGTGGCAGGGCAACATCTCCATTCTGTTGATATCCTGTCAGCCTCCGACGAATTCGTCGTCGTGTTGATCATCGCGGCTCTCAGGCCTGAGTTGGACTTCGTGTTCTGTAGATGGTATCTCGGCGCGGCATCCCCTCATTGCACAGGCGATTTATTAGAATGTACATCTCGGTTTGACAATCATGTGTCATGTGGACCGCGACTTTTGAGATGACGGTGCGGAAGGCGATGTTCATTGTAATAGTAGTCATGGTAGTTAGGCGGCGTACGTGTCTATGTCGTGATCTGACAGTTCAAGTGGACGAGGGCGTGGACACGTCCGCTGCGAACGAGTGGGAATGTGTATTCTAAGCAAAGTCCTCGCACGAGCGACAGACAGCGCCCCTTATGATGGGTCTCAATATAGCACGCAAGGGTGTGACAGTCCCAAGCTTCAGTATGACACCGTATCATCCCATCGCGCGCCGTTGGTGTCCGAGGATGGGAGCGTCTGGTTCTTGCCTTGACCGGACCAACTCCTGGGCTACGAACTCCGCGACCGACGGTCTGTATGATCAGGCAAACATCAGCAAAGCCTGCGCATCATCTGGCCTCTTGCGTGTGTATGGTTGAGTGCTGCGGGGTGCGGACAATTAGGTCCTTTCACAGCTCGCCAGTTTCTCAGGGAGCCATACATCGCATACAGGATGCTCTCGCCATTTAGGCCATGCCCACATGCCCCCAAAACAGCACCATATCCCCCAGGTGACACCACTACAGTTGAGGACCACGTGTGAGCACAAAATTGACACCACAACAACCGCGAGATATGAGATGTAAGACATACTTTGGCACATATCCTCGCTCCTCAACGAGTGTCATATAGTCTGAGGACCTGAAAGCGAATGATTTACATCAGCTTCTCACTCGCATAACGCACTGTGACAGGTATCGAACCTTGAGTCGATTGGAACTGAGAGTATCCCGATGGCGTTCAAAAGCAACAAGGACAGAGCTAGCGTGTTCATCTGAGTCGTTGTCGGTGGTATTGCGGCTATGATGAGTCTTTGCAGACGAAAGTGCTGCGATACGAACACCTCGTGAGAAGAGATACGTATAGGCACAATATCAAGCTAACTTACTGTCCAGCATCGGCGGGAAAGATAAGTGTATGGAGGGTGAAAGTCGCCAGGACTAACAAAGCGACACTGTTCTGACGGGGCCTTATATGGAGCAGGCCCGCGGGACTACATGCCAGTGGACGATATGCTGCTCGAGCAAACTTTTCGAAAGATTTCCGGCATCTGCTTCACCGTCACGTCTGTCGCAGGTACACCGTCCCCTGTTTCAGCTCTGTGAATTGATGTCAGTGACACGACAGCCATCTCGAACCAAAGAGCTTACTTTGCAACGTCTTTGAATGTCGAACATGATTGTAGTGCGTTCCAGCCAGTGCGTTCGGATGAGGATACGAAACTCGGGGAGTAATGATTGTTACCTGGGCTACCGACGTATGCCGATTTTGTGACACGGATATGCAGATATATGGCCATTGAACGCAGACACTTACCTGTGCCCCTAGTTTTGTGTTAAGAACAGTTCATCTTCCATTGACCTGTGCTTCTCGGTCTTGTCACGAGTATACCGTAGGGCCCTATGCAGTCACCGTGCTGTTACGTGGCACAATGATGAGTCATCCACACAGTAGGACAGATACGTCTAGGTAACCTCACGTACTTCGACAGTGAATTTTGCGCCGCCCATGATATGACAGGCTAGGGCGGCGGTGTTCTATCAGCAGACTGTACCTGGCTGCCGCGTTGTAGCAACGTGAATCACCGAGGATGCGACGGTCAAGTTGTCTGTCGACGGCGTCCGTTGTGCAGTGCGCCGTCATGATGGGAACCGCGCCGGTCTACTCGAGGATATCGCCCACAGTGAAAGTGGGACGCTGCATGCTGCGTGATACAGAGGCGCGATCGATTAGTACAGGCTTCAGGAAATGTTGAATTACGCACTCAGTCTTCCGTTGATCCGGAGGGGACCGACGCGTCCGCCGGGGGTGGAAGGGTGTCATCGCCTTCCATCCTGAGTTGTGTCGTTAGAGTTCCTTCTGAGTGAACCATTGTGTATGCAGGAGATCGAATTGTACAGGCTACATGCATAAAACCATAACACTGGCTTCTTGGCTGAACCTGATTACGGTACGAAGTCGAAGACCGATCCAGTCGGGTCTTGCACTCCACTTGCGGGCTCAAAGATCATTTCATCGGCATCACTTTCCGAGTCGCTGTCCCAATCGCTGTCCCAATCATCATCCAAGTATTCTCCCATATTGCCCAAAAGGTCATTGTCGTAACGGGTAGTCTGCACAACGGTCCACTTGCTGTGTGTGGTTTGTCGGAGGTAGAGCATGAAGCGCGACATCATGATGGCGGCCAACCTGTTTGTGAAATACTGAGATTGGGGTCATCAGAGGAAGGACTGCATGACATACGCGACAAGGTCAGAGGTGTTGATCGTGACGTCCGTAGCCTTGAACCATAGAATTAGTCAATATTCCGACCGGCACCCATTCCGGGCAACTCACCAATGTAAGCAGGAGCAAAGAGGTGTTAAACAGTACCACCGCACTTGATAACAGTGATTAGAGTCTATATTTGCAGCGTTCGGAGAAACCTACGCGAAGTATTGGATTCCTGGAGATGTAGTCAGTTTCCCCCGTTATAGCATTTTAGCATGACATTTCGTACCGGTTCGTAACAATGCTCTCGGCAATAATGCAACGACACCAGCTGCTCGTGCGGAGGCCATCAGCCCATATGCTTTCGTCCATGTGAACACCACAACCAGGATGTCGGGCACAATGCTTATCGAGCGAGCGATGAAATATACCGCATAAGCTGTTGTGCGATGGGTCAGCGCAAGACACTCAGCGGGGGTAAAATAGACGGACTGCTTGTCCTAGATGAAACACGACTATAAGTGAATACTGAACATGTATGACGAGTAGAGGTGCCATACCCTGCCTGCAGGCCTGCATTGCAAGTGATATAGTTACTGAGAGCCGCCTTCACAGTAAACTTCATGATAGCCTGATCGTGGTTTAGCCGATTGAGAAGACGACATAAGGAGTGATTGCCCTCTTACTATGCTGAAAACCGGAAGCACCAGCCCGGATATAATGACAAGTAGCGAGGGCCAAATGGTTCCATACCACAGCGTGTAGACTCTGGCGGCAGATAGCACTGGTACGCGGGTTCACTGATGATCGTCCAAGTTAAGGAGTTGTTGGCAAGGCTCACATGTGATCACAAGAAGACCAATGACTGCGTAAACCTCTGCACACCAAACTAAAACCGAGCATCTGAGATTGTCATTGACTGTCAATGCAAAGGTAATGCTTCGAACGGGGGATCGTCGCACCTCTTCCACGCCGACACACATAGATCAGCATGAAAATAGTCGAGCGTATAAAATTATAACCTTACACGCACCGCGTCTGATGGTCCCGCAAACATGGCTGACAACACGACGGCTCTGCTGATCAAGCATAGGTACCGGTTGGCAAAGAACACGGCGCTAGGGATGTCGAAGCGGTGACCCCAGTATTGTCGCACTTCCCGCGCCAATGTCAGGCCATACTCATAGAATACAGCAGCTACCGAACGGCACTTGAGGACTGGGACACGGCAGGGTGCGTCTCATGACTTACTCGTAACTGCAAGAGAGACCAAGCTTGAACTGGGTAAGTCGACACTGTGCAGCCTTGTGGGGCAATGCGACGTACTCAGCTGTACCCAGCAGTGACATCAGAAAAGAGTGGTCAAGGCTCTGCCTGAAAGCCGGCGACGATGAGGGCAAGTAGACAAGGCGCTGGCGCGGAAAGATACTTATGTTTGTTCTGCTTATGTTGCCTCGATCTCAAGATACGCGGTTGCGTGCGCACGCAATAAGCGCGTTCCTCGGCGACGTCGACCGCGACTAAGTACATGCAGCCATCAGCCTGGCTCCTCAACATGGTCGCGTACTACAAGGTCTGCCTACGGGAGACTGCCTTGAATTCCTCTTCCTGTACTCACCACGTCTGAGTTGAGCGTTACACCCGCGACGCTCATGATCACTACATATTGAATAAGCACCCAGCATGCACACGATCATTGGCAATAGCTATGATCAAGATCAGAGCCACACAACAGATCCAGAAAACGCGCGCCCCGGCGCGTGAGAAATTCAAAAGTTCGCGGGAATGCGGAGAAGTCCAATAAGAATCGCGATCCACACGCGTACGCCGTATCCACTGTAAGACACCGCGCACGTCCTGTTACAAGGTCGCGGCGTATTCGGCGTGTCTATCGAGAGCTGTCGAGGGTGATTAATTGATTCTTGAGGTTGTACGATGATTGACGTAGCGGGAAAGGGGGGCATCTTTGAGGGGGAGTGCGGGGCTGCGCGCCACCCACGATGGAAGGGTACCGTCGCCTTCCATCCTGAGTTGTGTCGCCATGGAGTTCCTTTGAGAGTGAACTATGCATATTGTAGTTGCTACACGCATCAACCAATAAACAACGTTGGCTCTTCTGCAGTAAGTTACTTGATCATGGTACGAAGTCCGAGTCGGAGATTGATCTAGTCGGGTCTTGCACTCCACCTGCGGTCTCAAATATCAGTTCGTCTTCCGAGTCGTTGTCCGAGTCATCATCCAGGTATTCTCCCATATTTCCCATCAAGGAATTGCTGGAACGAGTAGTCTGCACAAGAGTCCGCTTGCTGTATATGGTTTGTCGGAGATGGAGCATGAAGCGCGACATGAGTATGGCGGCCAACCTGTTTGGGAGGTACGATATCAGAACTAATTCAATGGAAGAACTTGTCATCATACGCGACAAGATCGGACGTGTTGATCGTGACGTCCGAAGCCTAGCAGTCAAAGATACAGTCAAGAGTCTGAGCATAGCCATATTTCGAGTAATTCACCAATGTCAGGACGAGCAGAGAGACATTGAAGAACGCCACCACTCTGTACGATCCTAGTTTTGAGTCCATATACTGTGGCTGCTGAAGTAACTCACGCGAAGTACTGAATCCCTGGCAACTTGGTCAGTCTGCGCTGTTATAACCTTCGAGCAGGAGATCTCGTACCAGTACGCAACAGTGCCCTGGGTATGAACGCAACGAAACCAATTGCGTGTGCAGAGGTCATGAGCGGGTATGTCTTCACCCATGTGAACGCTGCAACCAGGATATCCGGTACGAGATTGACTGAGCGAGCAGCAAAATAGACCTTATAAGCTGTTGAGACGCGGGTCAGTGCTAGAATTTGAGACATGAAGAATGAAACCGACGAGACGTCCTAAAGGAAGGTATACAGGAGTAAATGACAAGCATGTGTAACGATTGACAGATGTCGTACCCTGCCTGCAGGCTAGAATCGCAAACGACAGGGTTGTGGAGAGCTGTCTCGACTGAAAACCGCATCATAGCCTGTGTGGACTTAGACGGTCCCCGAGAAGGAAGAGATTGGCCTCTTACTATGCTGACAAACGGAAGTACCAGCCCGAATAGAGCGACAACTAGAGAGGGCCGGATATCTCCATACCACAGAGCGTAAACTCTGGCAGCAGACAGCACTATGATATCTCAGTAAGGAGCGTCCGAGTCAAATGGTATATTGGGAAGACTCACATGTGATCACAAGAAGAGCAGTGACTGCGTAGACACCTGAACACCAGACTAGAACCGAGCATCTGAAATCCGGCATCGACTATCAATGCATATACTGCACTTCAAATGGCAGATCGGCGCACCTCTTCCATGCATTCGCAGATATGAAACCGTCAAGCACGTGGATCAATGACTATACACACTTACCACCTCTGAAGGTTCTGCAAACATTGCAGACAACAGTACGATTCTGCTGATCAAGCACATATACCGGTTGGCGAAGAATAAGGCGCTAGGGACGTTCAAGGGCCGGCCCCAATATTGCCGCACTTCACGCGCCGATGTCAGGCCATACTCATAGAAGACAGCAGCTACCGAATGGCATCGTTGAAGCTTGGAGAGTGGACGCTGCAGGGTGTATAGGTGACTCACTCGAAACTGTGAGAGAAATTGAACTTGATAGAGGTCAATCGGCATCGTGCAATCCCTGGGGCAATGTAACGCACTCAGCATGGTTTCCCAACAGTGACATCGGAGAGGATCAAGCACAGCTCGAGATTCGGCGACTGATGAGGTCGAGGGGATGAGGTCGCTGGCGCGAAATGACGGGTCGCCTCGACCTAAGTACCCCAGCATGCGCACGATCCAACACAGCTGCGATCACTGTGAGAAGAATGTGTCAAACTTTGTTACGACGTGAATGGGATGCCTTCCGTGGCGGAGTGAGTATCACCAGCGCAGCAGTTTCACCGGGCAGGAGACTTCCTCAAGATTGACAGAGGCTGTGTGCATTAGACAGCGCGGGCTCTACAAGAGGTCACAAGAGTTAAGATGTGCCACATCGTACTGCGCGAAAGGACGATCATACTTACCTATTGACCGAGTAGTCGTCGTATCGCGAAGGATACAGCCTGTCGGCAGCGTCAGTCAAGAAGCTCGTCTTCACCCCCGGGAGGGCCTCGTCTATGACGAGCCCTGCGCAGACCTTCTCGTGGTCCCGGGGGGTAAGTAGTCCCGCGAGGGATGAAACGAACATGCGCTGAAAGGTGGAACATACGCTGTTGAGCGAGACCACCGGGTCAATGCACCCGCATCTGACCTTAACGATGCCAATCCACCCCAACGGTGGACACCGGGAAGCTCAAGAGACCTCCTGTGCGGACTGAAAGGGTCCAACCAACACCCATACCCATCAAAACTAATGGGTGGCCCAGGACCATCATCGACGCGACCGACGGCCTGCACTCCCTCTCCCTCGACGACCTCGGGCGTCTGATACTGGCGCCCGGCATATAGCCCGGAACCGGCCTCGTAGACGGCGCCTATTTAGAGTGCACGCCACCGTATCAGCACAGACAAACAAACCTATTTAGGGTAGACGTTATGTCAGATTAGACACCCCCTTTTTTGGACAAAGAACCAGCCACTCCGCCACGCTGCGCACATCCATCCCAGGCGCACCGAATGGCCTGTACACTCCTTATGCCCCCTCGTTCTTTTTCCATCTCCCTATTCCCCTCCTATATCCGGCTATAAACCCCTTGTAATGACAGTGCTCAGGCCAGCTATACACCTACTCCCTGCCCTGAGCGTCAGAGGATACGTAAGCTCATATGCCGATTGGAACGCACCTGTTGGCGCTCTGAACCCACGTTTATGAAGGACCATTAACGCCCGCCCCCCCTAGAATATAAGCCAGTCTTTCAGTCCATGGACGGACAGATCCCAGAAATGGCACCCACAGCTAAACGAGGTCCAACCTCCACAACAACAATAGCGAGCCAACGCAAGAGAAGACGTGTCCCATCGCCCAAACCGTGGACCCCTACCGTCATTAAACCACACCCACCCATCCTCCCCTACCTCCCCATCTTACTCCTCGCAATCGACCCAACTCGCGCGACGGAGATCGACGTAGAGGACTCCCCGGAGAACAGCGAAGCGGGCCTGACGTGGACAGCGAAAAGCCGCCCGCGAGATCAAATAGGGAGAGGGCAGCTGATTGTCCTGGTCACGGGACCGGAATGATCCGGCATAGGGAAAGTCGAGACCATTACCGACTTTCAACGACACTGGATCACATGGGCAATATCAGGAGGGCCCGGGAAATGCCACATCCGAGTCCCTACGTCATGGGCCAGGCTAGACAAACAAGAGCGCCTCCTACACACCCAAAGATACCGATCCCTGCTCTCTTTCCCCGCACCGCATGCTTCCCTACGACACGACCAGACCGTTATGGATAGTACAGATACCCCCTACGACTTCTCTACGGAGGATGAAAGCGAATGAGAGGCCACCCTAGCCTACTGCGCTAATCGTAGAGATGATTTTGCAACGAGCGCTACAGTGACCCAGACCGCGGATCGCAACACGAGAACCTAATGCGAACAAATCGGCCTTTACTGACAGCCCGGAACTCTCCGTCCTTGTTCCCCCTCTGCTCCCGACCGATCGACACCCCATCTTGAACCCTAATCACGCTTAACCGAAACCTAAGTACCCACATCGCACCGCTCCTGACAGCTGCGATGCCCCACTTAGGAACGGGCGCCAAGCTCAATATGCAAGCGAAACCCCTCACGCCATGCGCTGTGCTAGAGCCAGCGCTATAGAACAATGCGACGGGCCCACGAGAACCCGAATAAAGGACAGCGACGCATATCCTTACGCAACAGGCACCCGGCAAGCCCGCGACAAGTCAGCGGGATGCTGGCATACAACGACACCTACTGCGCCGCATGCATCGCGTAACCAACCCTACGCAAAATATAGGGAGCGGGCCGCACGACCTCCGCCAACACAAGGTCCGCCCACCCAACGTCAATAGAAATAGATGCGCCGCATCAACAACCATGCCTAAAATGGACATGATGGGATACACTACCGAGAACCTGAACTTTGACCGACGGACCGGATAGTCTGTCAGACAGTGGCGAGGATAGGATACCAACGTGCAACACCTACTCTACCGTCGACAGACTGAGCGACATGGAAGCAAATGACCCGGCTAAACTCAGCGGGAGCCTACAGAATACGACCCGGACGGACGCGGAGTTGGACGCCCCAACCAGATCCGCGGCATCAGACGCACAAGGCGTCTGATCGGGATCTTTACTGCGCTGACAGGTCGTCTACCGATTTTGGGACAGAAACGTCGTCGAAACTCGGTACAAGAAGCCTGGTCGGAAAACGCCACACAATGCAGTGAGTGGCTATCTACAAGCGACGGACCACATGACACGACACCGTTACTCCCGACACGCAGCGCAGGCCTGTTCGAACCGCCTTGCACACAGACGGATATCAGCTACTCCTCTCTAACGCACCACGGGTAGCACACCGCTCCAAATGACGAAGGGGAGACGAAGTTTCCACTACCACACAGCGGGAAACTGGGCGACTGACGCTGCTGGAGACAAAATAAAACCGATGGAATCTCCACAGACCTCCGACCAAACCGCCGCTAAATTTGACAGGTGCGAGAATAAATCGTAAAGAGCGGGGCCCTTGATGGTTGCAGTGCGATGACAGGAGACAGAACCAAATGACGGACGCCGACACGGCACGACGAAGCCCAACTAGGTAAACCCATCGACAGGCATGCCACATGAGTAGGCCATGAGGATAAAAGGGTCCCAGAAGCTACGCTCACAGCCATCCCCGGTTCCCCCTGTTATCTGCCTGCTCTCGCTTTCTGTCTACCGCTATGCAACAGCCTTCCCAGCCTACCTCTCCCGCCGTCCCTGCCAGCGATGGGTCAGCTAAACCGTCCCACCGTGGCGAAGCCCATGCGGACCCCTACATCGAACGCCTGCGCGCCGCATCCCTCGTTAAGTCCCCCAACAAGAGAGTCAACGCCGAGCCGCTGTCCTCCGGCGTCATCAACCCGTGGACCTCCCCGAGGGCCGTCTCGCCGACGAGCCGTTCTGGTGTCTCTTACGCAGACATGGTGTCCCGCCCTTCGACGCCTACGGTTCTCCTCTCCCTGAAAAAAGAAAATGCGCGGGCCGCGGCGCCGACGCAACACAGTAACGCGACGACGGCAGACGCGACCGCACCCGCTGTCTCCACCTCGACGACGACCGAGGTGATCGATGTAGATGCAGACACGACCGAGGTGGCCGTTAAAGGTACTTTAGCGTTAAGCATCGACGAACACGCCGATAAACTAACCCTACTCCAAAGAGGAAGAAGACTTAGAACTGAACGCTCTGGCCCTGAGACGCACCCGCTCGGGCAAGCAGCTTACGGTAGCGAAGATGAAGAATAAGAAGCAGCGCTCCAAGAAGAACGCAAAAGCTGCCGGGAAGATGCCGGCGACCATCGGTAAAGGACTGACGGGACCATCCTCGCTTGTCATGCAGGACGCCCAGCAGACTGAACCCACCCCTCGCTCCGTTAGTGACGTACGGAAGAGACGACGCGCCTCCACCGACATCGACGGAGATGCCGCGACAGCCGGAACCGTGACCCGCATGCAAGACGCTACGGCTGTGACTAACTCGGGCGAGCAGGCCGTCTACGTACACGATATCGGTGAAATCCTGGGATTCCCGCGCTTCGAGTACTCACCAGGCCCCTCCGGAGGTGACCGCGCTGACCCGGATGCGATGTCCGCTCCGAATCCCGAGCTGGGAGATGTCGAGATGTACGCCCCCACCCCGGTGTCTGAACAGGCGTCGGGCGTGACGATGAGGTACGCGGAGAAGCAGCCCAGCTTCACATACGCTCGGCGCGGACCAGACGGCTCCTATTCGACGCAGCACATCCGGTCGACGGACCAAAGCACGTACCTGACACGTAGCACCGTCCTCCATGAAGGAGACTTCGATGGTATGACTACAACCATCACATTATCGTCAGAGCTAACGGAAAGACTAGACATGTACGTGGAAACAAGGCCGCCCATGTTCGGCACGGCATATACGACGGCTGGACCCTCGACACAAGCCCAGGGCCCCAGCACGGCTCCCCGACTGAGAACACAAGGCCGGAACACCACTGTCGATGATATGAGTGCGTTCTTCCACGTGACGCAAGGCAACATAAACTCACCCCTCATATACGCACTAGGCCGACAGATGCGGGAGATCGAGGAGGCCAGTCGAACATCACGCTCCCCCCGCACAGACCACAACATCTCTCGCCAGCACCGGGCCCCGCTAACCACTCCTGGGATGACGCGAATCCACCGCACGCTTTCAGACGACCGCGCTCGCCTTCCGTGTTGCACCCTCACCCGGTGCACTACGCACCCGGGCCCTTCCCAAACTTCCTCCCTGCCGCTCCTGACGAACCCGCAGTCCCCGCACAACCTGCGGTCCCCACCGGCCCTATTCAGCCGCTAGCTCCGGCTCAGGGAGCGCCGCCACCGCTCGCGATGACGCGCCCACCAGCAGACGGGTGGCCCCGCATCCAAGGCAACGTTCTCGACCTACCGTATCAGAATGTATCACCCGCCCAGGCAGCCGAATGGAGGAAAGCAACTGATAAGCACGTCTTCATACACTTCCCGGGCCGTGGCGTGCACGATCGAGGGAACTTCGGACGTCTCTGCGCCGCGGACGCTATCCTCCGCACGTCCCTAGGAGTCCTCACTCCTAGCATCACCCAACCAATTGCAGCGGTCCCTCCTACCCTACCTAACTCTAACCCGATCTACTACCGCGTTGGGAACCTAACGACGGCTCAACGCGACCGCCTGCTGCGTGAAGGCTGGGTCTCGACGAACGATGGCACTTTCGGGATCATCTCCTCCGACCCCATCCCACCGACTTTCATCGGCGCCTGGAGGCATCCTGAGAGGCTGGGCGCGACGACCGCGGAAGGAATGGCTCACGGTTTCGTAGAAGGAATGGAGTCCGAAGAGATGTTCCAATGCATCGAGCTCACCCTGACGACGGACATAGGCTCAGGCGGTCGATGGCGCCATGTTACGGTGAGGGAAGCGCACCGATTCATTATTAACTCGATCAAGGTCAGGAAAATCATGCTGCGCATGTCCCGAGACGACGAAGAAGAACCGGTAGCCCTGCTCTACATGGAGTCCCCCACCGCTGACGCCACAGCATGGGCCAACTTCCGTGAACGCGTACGTAGCTTCCAGTTCGGAGGTCCGTACGCTGGACCTCCAGAACTCATCACACGCCCCTTCTACTGCTTGTACTGCCACTCCGTGGACCACCCGACCCACGCCTGCATCCTCCCGACGACTCCTGGGTGGCACGGCCCGTCGCTCGAAGAGGTCCGCGATACGCTCTCGGCTGACCGCCGCGCACAGAGCCAGGACCAGCACGGACGCGGTGGTAGAGGTGGCAGAGGAGGCAGAGGTGGTCGTGGAAGAGGAAATGGGCGAGGCCGCGGCCGTCGTAATGGAGACTCTTCTGGACAGCAGGGCGCGGGGCCCGTCTGAGCGACCGCCGTGGTGATGTTACCAACGTAGCGTGTCCGTACTACAGCGCCCTCTCTCTTTGTATACACATATCTCTGAATACGCGATTTTATGACGCCGATGTCTATCTGATCCTGGCACTATCCGAGCGAGTGGCCCACATCATGAACTAGCGACCTCCTCTATTTCTCTCCTTCAACACATAAGTGCGCGGCGAGACTAGGCCCACATATACTGCCCGTTCTCGGGACAGGAAAGCTTAGTAACCGCTGCCGTGCTGTCTCCTCTTCTTCCCGACTCACAGGCACTCGTAGACTTGTCTGGACTGAGAAGTCAAGCTGCAACGCAGCATGTCCCCTGAGGGCGCCAGGAGCGCGTCCCGCCCCCGGCGCATCGTTGTAGCCGGGAAGCGTACCGCAACGGCGACAAACTACATCACACCCCCACACACGGACGTAACAACGGCAACTGGCTCACCTCCCCTCTGCCCGGGAGATGCTGGCGCGTCCCCCGCCCGCGATAGCTTCCATGACCGAGCAGAGGGCTCCGGCGACGGGGCTACCCTTCGTGATGCACCGACATCTAACGTTGGTGTGTTAGGGATTACAGAGGGCTGTGTACATACTATCCCAACGCAAGCCGCCGTAGGAACGGCGGCTGTTGCCCCGGTGAACCTGACTGTTCCATCCGGCAGAAAGACTAAGGCAAGCCTCCATATTGGCAGTCTAAACATGAACGGAAGGGGCTCCTTGAGTGGACCCCGCGATACGAAATGGAACGCTATTAACCAGCTTCTTAGAGAAGAAAAAATAGGCATACTATGCCTCCAAGAAACACACCTTAACCCCGAACATCTAGACACCATCCACAATCTATACGGACGCCGCATCCGGATCTGGAACTCCGGGTCTATGACGGCTACGTCTAGCCAAGGAGTAGCAATTGTACTCAACCGCGAGCTCGTTGATGTATCAAACATTACCTTCAAAGAAATCATTTCAGGCCGTGCGGCGATGCTGACTATGCACTGGCATGCGGGTAAATTCCTCACGATACTCAATGTATACGCTCCAACCATACCGAGTGAGAACACCGCCTTCTGGGTACGCCTCCTGAAGATGGCGGAAAAAGGTCGCTTCAAGATGCCCGACGTGTTTGCGGGGGACTTCAACGTGGTCGAGGACGCTATAGACAGGCTACCAGCACGGGAAGACAGTGAACCAGCGGTAAGCGCTCTGCGTGATCTGCTTAGATTTTTTGATGCCTACGACGGCTGGCGAACATCAGAACCGAATACTAAAGACTATACGTACCCTCAGAGAGGAAGCCTGTCTCGCTCCCGCCTGGACCGAATATACGTGTCCGAGCCCCTCTTGCGTACGTCGCACACGTGGAATATTAAGACCACCGGAGTACACACAGATCACAGGCTCATGAGCACGAAGCTCAATACTGCTGACACTCCCTTCATTGGGAAAGGAAGATGGGTGATGCCGATCCATCTGCTGGAGGACAAAGTGTTCATGGACGAAGCTATGGTTCTAGGAGAAGCAGCGATGAGAAAGATGCGAGCGGCCAAAGATAATAGCAGGGACCGAGCACACTCACTTTCGATACAACAACTACACAAGACCCTCAAGGATGACATACGGAAACTTGCCCAGAACCGCCTCAAACGGAAATCCCCAAAACTTCTAGCTGAGATCAAGCGACTACGTCATCATATTAAGGAAGTCGAGAGCAGACACACGTACCAACACTCTGACGAGCTGCAAAACGACACCGCCATCCTGCATAACAGGGTGTGTGACCTTGAAAGTAAACGGCACACCCTCGCAAAATTGACCACGACGGCCCGGTACGTCATAAACGCTGAGCGAGTAACGAGGTATTGGTCGGACGTAAACAGAGAGAGGAAACCAAGGGACATCATATTCACCCTCCGCATCCCGAACTCGCACCCACATATGTTTGAAACTAAGTCTAATAAGATGGCAGCTCTGGCGCGAGATTACCACGACGGAATACAACTCACCGACGCGTCAGGATTCTCTCAAGACCGCCAGCCGGCCGTGACCAAGCAAGTCCTCGCGGCGGTAGATAGAACCTTAAATGCTGAGGATAAAGCTATGTTAGCAGGCGGCATATACAAGGAAGAAGTCAAAGATGCTTTACAAAAAACCCAATCCGGGCGTGCCCCTGGCCTGGACGGAATCCCCTACGAGTTCTGGAAAGCTTTCGTTGGCCGGGGAACGAAGGACAGCGGCTTCGACAGCTTGGACTATTTGACTCTGGTATACGAGGACGTCGAGGCAAATGGCCCCTCCCCGGATGGAGGGTTTACTGATGGATGGCTGTGCCCTCTGTACAAAAAGGGAGACCGCCGAGAGATATCCAATTACAGGCCGATCACCCTGTTAAACTCTGACTATAAGATATACACGAAGACCCTAACGTCAAGGCTGGGCCAAGTGGCCACGAGCCTGATACATACTGATCAGGCCGGCTTTGTACCAGGCCGCCATATCGAGGACCAGACTCAAACGTGCCGAGTTCTCGTCGACTATGCCAAGGCCACCGAAGAGGATGGGGTTATAGTTGCCCTGGACCAGGAGAAGGCATATGATAAAATTGACCATTCATACTTGTGGGAGGTTATGTTAGCTTTCGGCCTGCCCCATAGCTTCATAGCGAAAGTACGGGGCCTCTACGCTGTAGCTAGGACGAAAGTCATAATCAATGGCGAAAGTAGCAACTATTTCAGCGTGGTGCGAGGAGTAAGGCAAGGGGACCCACTGTCATGTCTTCTTTTCGACCTCGCAATAGAACCACTCGCGATCTTATTGCGCGCGTCGAGCCTCCGAGGATTCAGAATACCAGGAGCCACCGACAAGCTGATAACGAAACTATTCGCGGACGACACATCCGCCTTCCTGTCCAAGAATGATAATTGGACGGATTTGTGGGCGATACTGGACCTGTGGTGCGCCGCATCCCAGGCTAAGTTCAATAATGGTAAGACAGAGGTGATACCTGTGGGCTCACCAGAATATCGACAGTCTATGATAGCATCGCGAAAGCTAAACCCCAATGAGGACAGCTCTTGCGCAGTACCTCTTGACGTGCACATTGCGGAGGACGGGGAGCCAGTCCGGATCCTAGGGGCCTGGATAGGAAACGAGGTAGAGCAGACAGCAGTCTGGACACCGGCCCTCCAGAAAATTAGAAGCTTTCTCAAACGGTGGGGACAATGCAGGCCATCCATGATAGGCCGAAGACATATAATTCAGATGGGACCAGGAGGCATATCCCAATATTTGACCGTAGTCCAGGGAATGCCCAAATCGGTCGAGAGAGAGCTGAAGAAGATGGTGCGTAATTTTGCGTGGGACTCAGACAGTATACCGCCAATCAACACCGCGACTCTACATCAGCCCATCCATAAAGGAGGCCTTGGCCTGCTGGACATCGAAGCCCGAAACAATGCCATAGACCTGATGTGGCTGAAGAAGTACCTAACCCTTACGAACGACCGCCCTACCTGGGCGTATGCTATGGACGTGATCATAAATAAGCATGCGAAAAAGGCTACCGGCGAGATACGGCCGAAAGCGCAAATAAACACTTACATTCAGAGCTGGGACCCCAACATCAGCGCCCGATCCGGGCTGCCGGTGTACATTCGACAAATGCTCACTGCAGGGAAACGTTTCAGCGTTCACCTAGAAGCTATCAAAGTGAGCACATCCCTTAAGAACCAGCTCCCGGCCTGGTACCACATCGGGGCCACAAAAGCACTGCAAAGGCTAAACAACACGCGGATCAGTGATTGCCTCAGGGATCATCATGGAGTGATCATTATATCCGATCTCCTGGAAACGACGCGGTCGACGTGCGGGAGTCAGCAGACAACACAGAACACTGTCTGGGAAAACAATGTCTGCGGATGTGCCGAATGCTCGGCCCTGAGAGCACGGGGATGCAAACACCCAGCTACATGCCGCATTGCAGCTTTCAGGATCCTGAGCGAGATAGTCCCGAAATGGAACCCTCTTGTCCCGGAAGTTGTCGATGGCCTCACCCTAACCAGAAGGAGGCTCGAGAAGAACGAAGAAGCAGCCCTCGATGAAGGGGACACACTCACCTTCGACCCCTCGGTCACGTCGCGGGGCAATATATCCGAGACTTTCAGAGCCTTCGTCGCTCCGAGCACTTTGGCTTGCCCACCGGCAATACGACGCCGCGCCGGGCACTCCGTCATGGAGGACTCCACGACAGTAATGATCTTCACCCCAACCAGCCCCCCGGGAGTCCTGGCCGGGCAAGGCCCACCCGGGTCACGGACTTTCACCGCCTTCTTTGGCGCGGGCGATCAGCGTAACAGCCTCCTCCATGTGACGTCCGACCCAGAGATTAATGCCAACCCACCAGGTGAACTACAGGCTGCCCTGTACGCTGCCGAACGAACTCACCTCGACGCTCCCCTTAACATCCTCAGCACGAATGATGTGCTTACTGACCTAGTCTTTGATCGAGCCCCGACCTGGGAAACGAAGGGATGGATCAGTGTCCCGCTGGCAACGCATATGAAGCCCCTGTTGAATCGTCTCAGACAGAGATGCGCCGCCACTACTTTCGGGAGAATAGCCGGAGACGGAGCTTGGCAAACTCTAGAACGCGCTCGCCAGGATGCTTCGATGACCCCTCCAAGAGACTTTACAATGGCGGTGATGCCATCGCAGGATCCTGACACCCGTTTTGATCTTACGGGGGCGAGGCTGAACGCCCTCACACAAGCCCTGGCGTATCGAGGGATCCTGGAGCACCGCCAGGTCGAGACCAGGCGCCGGACGAAAGATAACCTGGCGGCAGTCTATCAACACCTGCAGGCGAACAATTCGCTCACCTTTGGTCAAATCTGGACGAGTACACGGCACAAAGACTTTAGCAGGATCTTTGCGGTTTTCCTGTGGAAAATTATGCATGATGGCCTGAAATGCGGCCCGTACTGGAGTAAGATACAGGGATATGAGGATCGAGCACAGTGTAGCCACTGCGGATCCCTAGAGACTGTCCAACATATTATCTTCGAGTGTGAAGCCACGGGCCAAGCCCTAATTTGGTCGCTGATACGGAAGGTGTGGGAGAAGAAGTTAGTGGACGTGCCTTGGCCCCGCCTTTCTTTAGTAGACGTACTTTCACTAGGCCTGACGGAATGGAAGACCAGCAAGGGCCGAGTGCGTCCAGGAGCCACGAGGCTATGGCGGATATTAATATCCGAAGCTGTTCATCTGACTTGGAAACTGCGCTGCGAGAGAGTCATAGGTCACGCAGCGGAGGACGGATGGGAACACCAGAAGACGACGGTGGCGAGCAAGCTGCGATATGCTTTGAATCATAGATTGGCGCTCGACGTCGAATCAGTACAGAAGAAATACGGGCAGTTTGCCATTAAGAGGGAGCTGGTCCTGGCCACGTGGAACAAGGTCCTGTGGGACGAACATGTGCTCCCGGAAGACTGGACAAAGTACAAGGGTTTTTTAGTGGGTAGGATGCCGGCGTTACGAGTAGACCTCGAACCGGATTAGTGAGTCCCACACTGGTTGTTAAACCGTGCGTAAGCAGCATTTTTCACCCTGGATCGGCGACTATGGGGAAACCCATACGCAGGCTGGATAACCTGGGATGACCCATTGTCATTTGCAGGCATCCGTGATGGCCCTCCAAAAAAAAAAAAAAAAAAAAAAAAAAAAAAAAGCTCGTCTTCAAAAGCGACATGACATTCTCTTTTTTTTTTTTTTTTTTGGAGGGCTTTTTCAGGTGCCGGCAACAGACAATTGGTCCACCCCGGTCGCCCAGCTTGCGTACGGTGTTACCCGTAAGTGCAATCCACGGAAAAAAATGCAGTTTACGCACGGCTTAATAGCCAGTGTGGGACTCATCACCCCGGATCGATCTCGATGCGTAGAATCGGGGAACTACCCACTAAAAAACCTTTGCACTTCGTCCAGTCTTCCGGGAGCGCTAGTTCATCATAGATGACGGCGTTCCACGTGGCGAGGACAAGGTCCCGCGATAAGGCTCGATCTCCGTAGCGCTTTCTGGTGGCTTCCACATCAATGGAGAGGCGACTATTTAGAATGTATGCTAGCTTGCAGCGTACGTATATGGCACTATGTTCCCAATCTCTTTCGTCTTGGTGTCCGATGACTCTATCACACCGCAGCTTCCATACTAGGTGAGCCGCCTCTGAGATCATTATTTTCCATAGCCTCGTCGCTCCAGGTCGAAATTTGCTCTTCTCGTTCGTCCATTCTTTTAACCCTAGGGCGAGGATGTCGATCATGGTTAGTGTGGACCAAGGTAGGCCCTTTTTTCGCCACAATGCAGCGATTATTTGCCATATTTCTCTTTGTCCTGTTGCCGGGCATTCGAAAAGGATGTGTTCCACTGATTCTGTTTGTCCGCAGAAACTGCATCGCGCACGATCCTCGAAACCAGGGATGTTAAGCCAGTAGCTGCCGCATTTTAGGGCCCCATGGACGCACTTCCATAAGAAGATCGCAAAGGACCGACTGAAATCTTTGTGGCGAGTGCTCATCCATATCGTCTTGTTTGTCATGCAGTTTCCGGGCGGTGTTAGTTCATGGATTGCTCCCAGGTTTGCGGTAGCCTTTTGTCTCGGTGGAGTGCACTTCCACGAGATGATTCCTTTGTATGCTGAAGCTTGCGTGAGGGTGAGTAGTTTGGCTCCTGTAACGTCGAAGCGTTTGTCTCGAATGAGGGAGGGGGGAGGAGCGGTGGGCCAAAGCTGCGGTTGATTTGGGGAGAAGGTCTGTCTCGCTTTTTCCAATGTTTTCCAGTCATCAGGTTTTATAATCTTCCCTAGAGACGTGGGTGCGCAGCGCTGTCTGAGCCGATTGAGGAGGGCACGGATATGAGTCGCTGGGGATACATTTATCCAGCCATTGTCCTCCCAAATTGGGGTCTTGGTAATCATTGTGGATGTGAGTACGTCGTTAGTGCTTAGGATACGGAGGGGGCATCAATCGGGGTGTGGGCAACCGCATATATGGCAGCGACTATCTCCCCTGGGGCCGGTGAGTGAGTGTCCGGGTCTATTGACTCAGTTATAAGTGCGTTCCTCTGGTCATGCTCACCGAAGAAAACCATGTGTTTTCCTTCAGGCATATTGTCTTCTCTCGCTGCATTATCTGGCAAAGTCTGAAAGATGTAGACGATCGTGGATTCCTGGTGGACTACTAGGCCGGGGCGTTTACGATGCGATGGTGGGTCTCGCATCGTGCTGGGTTCAACGAAGATGCGGAACATTTCTGCTATGCCGCCGCGGGCTGTGATGGAGGGGTTGAAGGTGAGGGTGTCCCCTTTTTCCGTTTTTGCTTCGTCATTGCGAAGGGATCGTCGTGTTGTCAGTGTGAGACCGTCCGTATACTCCACAGAGAGTGGGTTCCACTTGGGTAGAATTTCGCTTAGTATACGGAAAGCGGCTAGCCTGCACTTCTCCGGATGTTTGCATCCATTTTGGATTGCCGCAATGCATTCGGGGCACTCACAGTCATCATTGCCCCAGCTCCGTCTCTGTTGTGGCGGGTTTGATCCACATGTTGATTCAGTGGAGTGTAGTAAGTCTGCGATGGTTGTGACATTGTGGTTGTCACGTAGGCAGTCACTGATTTTCGTATTGTTCAGCTTGCGTAAGGCTTTGGTCGCCCCGATGTGGTACCATACTGGGAGTTGTTTTTTTAGCGATGCGTCAACTTTCAGTGCTTCTAGGTGAGCGCCATACTTTTTCGCAGTTGATAGCATGGTTTTGATATACTGTGGCAGTGATGATTTTCCTTTGAGCGGTGGGTGCCAGCTCTGCAGGAAGGTATTTATCTGTGCTTTAGGTCTTATTTCACCAGCGTCCTTTGTGGCATACTGGTTAATGATGGCGTCCATCGCGAAGGCCCAGGTGGGTCGGCTAGGGCTTAGGTTCAGATAGCGTTTGAGCCACATCAAGTTAATTGCCTCGTTTCGGGATTCGATGTCTAGGAGCCCGAGGCCGCCGTCTTTAATGGGTCGGTGTAGGGTTGCTAGGTTTATTGGTGGGGTGCTGTTGTTGCCCCATATAAAGGTGCGTATCAATTTGGTTAGTTCTGTTTCAATTGATTTAGGCATCCCCTGTACTACTGTTAGGTATTGCGAAATCCCGCCGGGCCCCATTTGTACTATGTGCCGTTTTCCAATCATGGAAGGCCTACACTTTCCCCATCTATCAAGGAAGTTTCTTATTTTCGTGAGTGCGGGTGTCCATACGCTGACTTGATCAATCTTGTTTCCTATCCAGGCACCTAGAACTCGGATTGGCTCTCCGTCAGGAGCGATTCGTATGTGTTGCGGTATACGGTCCGTGGACGGGTCATCCGGGTCTATCAGACGCGTCCTGATTACAGCTTCCCGGTAAGCTTCTGTCCCTACAGGTACAATTTCAGTCTTGCCGTTATTGAATTTCGCGCGCGATGCAGTGCACCACAATTCGAGTATCTGCCAGAGGTCGGCCCAGTGGTCGCGTTTGGACAGGAAGGTGGACGTGTCGTCCGCGAACAATTTTGTTATCAATTTGCTTGCAGTACCCGGTATGCAGAATCCTTTTAGCGACGAGCGTCGGAGGGCCGTCGCTAGGGGCTCAATTGCGATGTCGAACAGGAGGCAGGAGAGTGGATCGCCTTGTCGGACGCCTCTGATTACATCAAAGAAGGAACTTGCTTCGCCGTTTACTATGGCTTTGGTACGTGCGTGTTTGTATAATGCTTTTATTTTGTTGATGAAGCGCCTTGGGAGGTGGAAAGCCTCTAGTGTGCGCCATAGGTATGTGTGGTCAATCTTGTCGTAGGCCTTTTCTTGATCGAGCGCAATGATGACGCCGTCTTCTTCCAAGGTTTCTGCGTAGTCGACTAGGACACGGCAAGTTTGTGTTTGGTCTTCAATGTGCCTTCCAGGCATGAAGCCCGCTTGGTCGGGGTGGATGAGTTTCCCGGCAACTTGATTGAGGCGAGAGGTGAGTATTCTCGTGTATATTTTGTAGTCTGTGTTTAATAAGGTGATGGGTCTATAATTACTTATGTCACGACGATCACCTTTCTTGTATAGAGGGCATAGCCATCCATCCGCGAAACCGCCAGCTGGGTTCACCCCGTTCATTTCGATATCCCCGTAGACTGTTTGAAGATATTCTAGGCTGTTGAAAGCGCCTTCTCCTGAGTTTCGCATGTAGGTGGCCCAGAACTCGTAAGGTATACCATCCAGGCCTGTTGCCCGGCCAGTTTGGGCGAGTCGAAGCGCGTTTTGCACCTCGTCCGTTTCGATGTCTGACGAGAGGACTTCTAGGTCCATGTAGTCGAGGTTGGAGTCGAGATTGCTCAGTACTGAGAGCATTGCTTCCTCCTGGTGGCTCGTGGAGAACCCGGGGACGTCAAGGTGTTGTATTTGTTCATGATACGTTTTGGTTAGCTCTGCCATTTTGTCTGACCTTCTTTCATAAGTTGGAGGGTTCGAGTGGGGAGTTTGCAAGAGGTATAGAAGGTCCCTCGGTTTTCTTTCTCTGTTTATCGCCGACCAGTACTTGGTGACTCGCTCTGCGTTGATTACATACCGAGCCGTGGTGGTGAGTTTTGCTGTTGAGTGTCGTTTCCGTTCGAGTTCAACTATTCTGTTATGTATGATTGCTGAATCGCCTTGCATTGCTGCCGATGTTGAGAAGCTGGGGTGGCTTTCTATGTCTTTTAGGTGTGATGAGAGGCGGCCGATTTCTGCTCTTATCTTAGGAATTTTCTCTCTCAGGGTTCTACGTGCTAGATCTCTAAGGTCATCCTTGAAGCGCGAGTGTAGGAGCTGTACCGGGCTGGGGAATTCGTCGTCGACAAGGTGAGTGGCCGTTTTCATTTGTTTCAGTGTCGACATACCGAGTTCAGCCGCAGCTTTCTTGAATTGTTCATCGTCGAGTAGGTGTATGGGAAGGGTCCATCTTCCTTTCCCTATATACGGCGCTGTTCGTGTGCTTAGGACTGCGCTTACTAGTCTGTGATCTGTGTGCACTGCAGTTGTTTTTATGGACCATTCTTGTGACGACATTACTAGCTCATTTGTCACGTAGATTCTGTCTAGACGTGAACGGGATGTGCTTCCTCGTTGTGGATATGAGAAGTCTTTTTTCGTGGGTTCCGATAGTCTCCATCCGTCAAACAGGTCAAAGTGTCGTAGCAGACTTCGTAGGTTTTGTACTGCTGCGGGTAGGTCTTCCCTAGCCGGGATTCTGTCAATTGCTTCCTCTACGATATTGAAGTCCCCGATTAGTATGTCCGGTTTCCGGTACTGTCCATTTTCTGACAGTTGTTGCAGTTCTTGCCAGAACAACGCGTTTTCCTGAGGTGGATTTGGAGCGTAGACGTTCATAATCTTGAGATATTTGTCTGCATGCCAATGCATGCGGAGCAGTGTCGCTCTTCCGGGGATGATCTCTGTGAATTGGGTGTTGGCGATATCAACCAATTCGCGGTTTAGGATTGTGGCGACACCTTGGGAGGCTGTTGCGGAGGGTGAGCAGGAGTTGTGAATTGTGATCCTTCTTCCGTATACATTTTCGATGTTCTGGATGTCTGATGTATCTAAGTGTGTTTCTTGTAGGCACAGTACTCCGATCTTGTCCTCTCTTAAAAGCTGATTAATTTCGTTCCATTTTTGGTTTCGGGGGCCAGTTACGCCACCTCGTCCGTTGATATTGAGTGAACACATGTGGATGCCTGCTTTCGTCTTTCGACCGGATGATTTCGCATGCGTGTTACTTGCCGGTGTGGAGGGCTGAGCCCTTGAGTTCCGGCCCCTGGGCCTTTGACCTACAACCGGTTGTGTTAGGGAGTGCACAGGGGCAGCCCCGTCTCCGTGTTCCTCCATCTGATCATTGAGACCAGCGTGGGCGGGGGACGCGTTGGGCTCTCCCTGATGGAGGAGAGGGGTGCCAGTTGTCGTGAGATCGTCCGTATGGTTTGTTATATTCGTATTGTTGACCGTTGCACTACACATTCTGACTACAACGATCTGTCGGGTGCGGGAAACACTCCTGGTTTCCTCAGGAGACACGCTGCCGTGGCAGCTTCGGCTTCTCAGCCTGGGGCAAGTCTAACAGTGCCCACTCGCTGTAAGTGAAACGCTACATCGGTTCCAGAGCTTTCCTGTCCTGCTTTAGGCAGTCAGTAGATGTGGGCTCCGTTACCGAGTATTGTGTGGTTAGTTTTTAATGTTCGTTTAGAGCCGTTCTCTTTTCCTGTTTTTTTATTATTAAAATTGAATATGGACGTTCTTGTTTGCTCATGTTCGAGTGGTAAAGGATATGAGGATCAACGTATATTTGGATGCGATAGTACATGTTATTCAAATCGTGGGTACACTGAGAGCGGCCCGGCATATACAATGTCCGGTTAGTTCATACCATTACGACGTCCACGAGAGCCGTTACCCCGCGCCCTGCCTCCTCGTCCTCCACGGCCGCCGCGGCCGCCTCTTCCGTTTTGCTCGTTGCCTTGGGCACGTCGGTCCCTGGTGAGAGCTTCGCGAGCGTCCGCTAGGGACGGGCCGTGCCATCCTGGAGTGGAAGGTAGGGTGCAGGCGGCTGTTGGGTGATCCGAGGAGTGGCAGTACATACAGAAGAAGCAGTCGGTGATGAGCTCCGGAGGTCCTGCATAAGCGCCGCCGTAGACTTGTTCGCGCACTTGCCTCCGGAAGTTGACCCATTCCGCAGCGTCGGCGGTGGGAGACTCAACGTACAGTAGCGCAATCGGTTCCTCGTCGATGCCTTCCCGTAGACGGATTTGCCTGACACGTATGGATTGGAGAACGAGGCGGCGTGCATCGTCGACAGATAAGTGGCGCCATCTTCCCCCAGAACTGATGTCAGCGATGAGGAGCGTCGTGATGAGCGATGCGAGGTTGGGGGATTCGAAGCCGGCGAGGAAGCCCTGTGCGATGCCTTCGTCCGATGGTTCGCCTATAACAAGACGACCTGGGAAGCGCCATCCTCCCATGAAGGTAGGGGGCTCATGAGGCGCTGCGAGGATTCCTACGGTGCCATCGGTAGTAGAGATCCATTGGTCGCGGAGTAGCGCGTTGCGCTGCGGGATCGTGATGTTGCTTACGCGGTAGAAGGTTGGGTAGGCGTTCGGACGCGGCTGCGGATTAGCGGCGATAGGCTGCGTGATCGTCGCGGTGCGTATGTCATAGACTTTGTGGAAGATTGTTTGGGCCATGGTGACACGTCCGTGGTTTCCGGGGTCGTTCCCGCTGCGAGCGAGGAAATGCAGGAGAACGCACGGATTGGGGTCCGTTGTCCAGACGGCCAGCTGGCTCTGTTCCATATTGCCGTACGGCCAGAAGAAATCGTCCCCCTGTAGCGGGAGCCAGCCGCCAGGCGGGGCTCGCGTCATCATGCTAGGAGCAGAGAAGCCGTGAGCTTGAGGGAGCGGTGCGATAGGGCCGGCAGGGAAAGCAGGTTCGACAGAGGGGGCGGGCACCGCAGGAGGGACAGGAGGGAAGTGGAGCGGAGTGAGATGCGCAGGAAAGATCGGCGTTATTGGCGTAGTCGCGAAATTGGGGAAGGGTCCGGGCGCATAGTGTACTGGGCGCGGAGGCGGAACGTATGTAGGTGGAGGGAGTGGTTGGGCATCAGCGGCGTCTGAGCGTATCGTGTTCGAGGGTCCTGCCGTCGCGTTGCGTTGCGGGGCCTTCCCTTTGCCGATCCCGAGTGAGGCGGGCAGGGCCTTCTCGACCGCAGATACGTAGAGGGCAGGGTGAGAGACGTCGCCTTGCCTGGCAATGAACGGGTTTGTGCTGTCGCCGATGATGAGCGCTGCGGATGGCTCTCGAGAGGGGGTGGGCCGACTGGAACTTGTTTGTGAGCCAGGCGCGGAGATGCAGCAGGCGTATATAGGTCTTTTTTTTTTTTTTTTTGAAAGAGGACGTAGTTAGGAGGGACGGAATCTGCTACGTGGTGATTTAGAGACGTACCCTCTATGCTGCCACCGGCGAAGTCCTCTCGCACTAGGACGTAGGGGTTATCTTCTCGCTGCGCCTGTTCGTCCAGGTAGCGCTGGACCATGAAGGAGGCGCCAGGTGCTTGACGAACGCGTGGTGGGGTGCCAGGAACGCCGGGTCCTGATAGGCATCCGGGAGCCGCGAGGACAGGACGAGGGCGATATGCATCAGCGGTGTATGTGGGTGGTAGGCCGTAGAACCTACGTATATGCGCCGTGGAGAGTTCCATCTCATCGGGGTCAGGTATTGCAACGTCGTCCATTTCAATGTCAGACGTCGTCAGCGCTGGTGGGTCCTGCAGTTCCTCGACGCTGGAGGACGACGAGATAGAGATTGCCATTGTCGTTGCGTGTTGGGTGGGGGCAGCGTGTGGTGTCAGAGCGACCACCGGGTCCTGGACGCGTGGGACGGCATCGGTTTGCGCGGACGGGCCGTCGACGTCAGTGGAGACGCGTCGACGCTTGCGCGTGTCGCTGACCGCTCGCGTCGTTACGGTTGGTGGGACGGTGGTGATAGACGCGTCGAGAACGGCGGTAGGGGTAGCAACGACAGAGGAGGAAGCGGTCGGGTGGCTCTCACCGACGGTCATCTTTGGTTTCCCAGCGACGGCAGCGTTCTTTTTGGCGCGTTGTTTCTTCGCTTTTGCTTAGAGGCCGTCAACTTCTTTCCGGACCTCGTGCGGGAGGTGTCCAGGACAGTCTCTACTTCTTCAGCTGGCGCAGAAAGTTAGGGCCGAGCGTTGTAGAGAGGAGTGAGCTCACTTTTGACGACGGCTGCGACGTCGTTACTTTTCCTCCCGCTGATTCCTCTACTGGCGCGGGCCCATTGACGACTTCGGCGGGTTGCGCATTGTTCGTGGCTTCGACTGCGTTACCGGCTTCGGGATCTGCGTGTACGGTGGGCGAGCCTTGGTTGGCGATCGAGATCGGAGGCGAAGGAGGCCTTGCCGCCACAGCCGCATAAGAGAGCCCGGTGCGTTCCACAGGAGAGATAGCACGGGGAGAGACCCACGGGTTGCCAGCGGGGGAGGCAGCGGCGCTAGCTCCGGTGAGGCGCGAGGGAGGGGAGCGAGCGGGAAGCGATGTCTGGCGACCGCCGGCGGCGAGCTGGTCCTGACGATACGCGGAGGCGAGCTGGTCCCATCGTTGGCTGAGGTGGGTTTGTTCTGGTGCATGCTGGGCGAGTATGAGCGGGAAGCAGGTTATCTATTGGGTGCTGAGAGCGCAGCCTCCAGGGATCCTTTTATCCTCATGGCCTTGGATGATGTAATGCTGTCGATGGGATTCTGCTCTGGGCTGTGCGTTGCCGTTTGCACTCGGCCTGATGTTCTTGAATTGCTATCTCACCATCGTAGTTGTCGCAGGTCGCAATTTGTCCCGTATTCTTCACGCGCTTGTCATCGGGCGTACGACATGGCGAGTGGAGCGGATGCGGTTGAGTGTTGGGCAGCGAGTCGGTGTCTCGTTGCGGGTGGGCGTAACGGTGAGGTCCTCGCGTGCGTTTTTGTTTGCGGGCGTGACGGTTTCGACAGATGTCGGTATGTCGAGCATAGCAGGCCAGTTCAAAGGTTGTGCCCAGTGTTTAGATGGGTTCGAGTCCTGAGGACGGTGCTGCGAGGAGTCCGGGCGCATTTGGCGCTGAGTAGTCGAATTTGCAAGAGATACTTTGACAGGTGTCCTGAAATGGACGCGGCTTCCTGTCTGCGGGGATTGTGTGGCTTAAGCGCCATTGTTGTCCCACGTTTAGGGCTTCTATGTCAGGGTCTGGTGCGCATGTCGGTTCGGCTATCTAGAGGGATGGCGGTGCAAATTCGTCTGATCTTGAGATCAGTTGGGTCGCGGATCTTAATTTGCCTCCGCGAGCTTCGGCTCTTCATCAGGTTGTGCTTCGTTTGTTGGGCAGGAAGGTTGTTCGTTGACTGCCTACTTGGCCAGAAGGGCAGCGATTGTATTACTGCCTGACGCCTGGTGCGGTGCGCGTTGCGGCATCATTTCTGGGTTTGCGGTTTCAGCGGTATTGGTGGGGTTGGTTCCTGGTTGCGCGCTGGTTTTATTAAGAAAGGAGGGGCGCTCCATGTGGCAAGTGATCGGTCGAGCGTATTAGTATACAGTAACGAGGGGGATGTTGACTACGTTGCTCGAGGTTACGGCAATTGATCTCCGCATACTCCTTGGAGTCACGCTTCTCGCCCTCTCCCTCTTGCTTAGATATCCATCTCCTCCTCCTCATCAGTATCAAACTCGTAAGGACTCTCTTTGCTCTCTTGAAGAGCCGGTTCGAGGCGAGTGAGTTATGAGCGCGGGTGAGGGTAGTAGGAGGTGTAGAGAGATGTATGGTTTATTTTGTCGCGGCCGGTGAGTCTGGACCATGAGGTAGGCGCTCTGATTGCGCAGACCCCCGGGGATCCCGCAAGGGACCACGTGATCCAGTGTCTTTGTAGCTCGGATACTGCTTCGATGCGTCCTATTCCGGATCGTACACCCTCGGCAATGAGCGTGACCGGTTGGCCGGTCTCGATTGGGAGCTCGGGCGTTTCATCACCGTCCACGTCAGGGTTGCCCCTTTCCTTTCAGGGTGGCCATCCACTTCGATCGCCAGTGGACTGGGAGAGTCGCGGGTGAGGTGGAGGATGGGGAGACATTTCACAGGAGGGGAGCGGGCGATTGCGTGTCGAAATCTAGGATTGTAGGGTCCATGGATTGGAGCATTTTGGAATCGTCGGCCATCTCAAAGAATGTTTGTATCGTCTGGGGGGATTGGGGGCATTGCTGGTGGGTGTCATCTTTGTTGCTGGAGCTCTTGTCTCATGGTCTGAGGCAGGTTTTTAACGGAAAGCTGAGCGTTTACCTGTTACGGCATAGCCGGTTGTGGAGGTCCGCCTTTACGTTATGATTTGTGGAAGATTGATATATTTATTGGTTCTTTAGACGCTCTTTAACGTGTTGCGGTGCAAGAGAGGGTGTTTACAAGTTGGGTGAAGCAAGTGGGCTCCGCATTTCGGAGGGGGAAGAGCAGAGCTCCAGTCCATTCCTTTAGATTTTGTCTCGTTGTTCACTCTGGTTGTTCAGCCACTAGCGGCTATCCTGTTTGTGTTTGTTTAGGGTGTGGCTTGAACTCTGTTTAAGCGCCGCGCCCGTTGAGTCCAGCGCTTAGGTGGCCGGGAGGCGCGCAGTAGAGGGCGCGTCGTCGGGCATCGACGATGAGCACTGAAATAAGGGCGATATCCCTACGAGATGGAGCTCCGTGGGTCTAGTGGTACTATTGTAGCACGGTGTGGTACTTTTAACACTTGATGTGTTAGGGTAATGGGGTGGATTGCCCCTTGTCCCATTGGATGACGCTCTCTGGCGATATCCTGGCCAGCGTGCTTAACAGCGACGCTGGGCCTTATAGTGCATGTTCGTTTCACCCTTTTTGAGAGGGTTACTTACCCCCCGGACCACGAGAAGGTCTGCACAGGGCTCGCCAGCGACGAGCCCTCCCGGGGGGACATGACATTCTCGATAGAAATCATCCGACGTCGACGAGCGATCTGGTTGATCACGTCCGTGGCGCGGCGTCTTCGAAGTTGACGGGCTTATTTCTGCAGGCACCGCTGTCGACCAACCGCAGCGGTAAGCCTGACCCCATGCCCAGGATGTAATCTCTGAGAACCGTCTTGTTAGGTCGTCGTTCACGTGCGCACGCACACGAAAACGAAAATGGAGAAGCAGGAATAAACTGAACATGCGGAGAGCTTGAAGCTTTCATGACCGATGTGACTACACAACCTGTACGGTCGGAATGGGGTCGAATCAAGATGGGCGAGCGGATATGGGATACAGTTGTGAGATTCCGTAGCGATACAGATGCAGAGCATTAATGACGACGGGTGGCAAATAGCAGTCGAAAGCAATGTGAACGTTAACGTTACTGCGGCTGGAGATCTCGACCATCGACAAGAGTTGCGCGTTTGCGGTGTCGAGGACAGCCATATCATGATTCCAGGAGAGTTGGGTCAGTCCCAGAGTGAAGTCAAGTCCCAGGGGCTCAGCGTCACGGGCGCTGGCATAGCGACCACAACGGCGACTTGCACCGTTTGCCGAGTTGGTGTAGGTGATGGATGAGTTGGGCCAGGAGGCCAATGGAAGAATCCCAAGGCGTCGAAGTGCCACCGACGATGGCCACCTTGAGCGATGTCCTCACTTTCTGATCGGCGTATATGCGGCGTACTGTGAGATATTGATTTGGCAGATAGAGGCTGTGGATTGCAGCGGCATGCGTCTCCTCAGACACTTTGTCGAACAATGTGTCACAGCGAACTCACAAGTACGTCCTGCCAGAATGCGGACTCGATGCCTTTCGCAGGGGCGTATATGTCGTACAACTTGGGTGGGTGCCTACGTCTTTCTTCTCTTCTACGAGCTCTGCTTCGCACATCATCCTCAGCGTCCGAGCCATGGGCGACCACACGGGGCTCGGCTCCTCGTCATCATCCAGCGCTGCGCGCGCCCAAGAGCCCGCCTGCGCAGACCAATCATGGCAAGCATCCCGCCGACGAACAGGCCGATGGCGAGGAAAGCAAGGATGAGCGCAGCGGTGCCATTTGCGGAGAAGGACGGAGCGCCGCCAGATCCCGACGAGGAGGAGGAAGAGGAGGAGGAAGAGGCAGAACTTGAAGTCGTGCTCGTCGTTGCGGATGTCGTGACCGCCGTCGACATTGCGGACCTAGTTGCGGACGGGCCAACCGCCATGGTTGTCCAGGCTAGTCCAGATTAGATGTGGTAAGTACGACATTCGCGGGATGGGAAATTGCCGGATGGCCACATCCCGTTTTGGCAAGTCTCGTTGAACGTCGGTTCATTGTCGCGTCGCCGCTCTGTCACGGTGCCTCTCATCTTCCCGTCCCGACCTCCCGTCTGTCTCGCTCCTTTTCCACAGTCGTTCCTTTCTTTTCCTATATCAGTAATAATGGTAGCGCTCTCTCTCGTACTTCTGAGCATTCTTGCTGCTCGCGGCCACGCACAGACGTATTCAGCGACGTATCTGCCGTCTAACGCGCCCGACCACACGCAGGACGGTCAGTATGGCACCAACCAATGCGGAACTCAGTCAAGCCAGGACTCTCTCTGCCAGAACGCGTACCGTGAGTGGCTTCTCATACATGACGATGAGATATGGCTGATGGGGCTGCGCTCTTAGTAAACTCGGTGGACGACTTCTGCGTCTACGCACCTCCATATTCGGGTTCAAACGCAACTATCGGGGATACAGAACGCGTTGAAGTCTCCTGGTGCTTACGGGATGGCTACGGGACGCGTTTGATTCCGGATGGCACCATCACCGGCGCGCACTTCGTCCAGACACCCGACTACATTCAGATCACCGGCGTCGGCGACCTGACGAAGCTGAACATCCCCGCGGGCGACAGTGGTGGCGAGCTGGATCCTCATGGCGCTGACGGGAACGGAAACCCTATCGGAGGTCTCGTGTTCTCGAACGCGTTCGGGCAACTCCAGCAGTTGCATGAATGGACAGTAAGAGGACGAGTGTCGTCCCTCCTTGCCACGCTGACTGGCTTCCCTTGCACACAGAACTACATGTCTTCCACGGAGTTCTGCTTCCGGGCGTGCAAACCGGGTCCGGACGCGACGACGTACTGTCAACACATCTACGACGTCATGGGCTGCGAGTGGAACATGCCTAGCGACTACGATGCTGGTGTCTTCGATCGCTGCGCGGGCGACAGCGGGGAGGTAAGAAGTCCATCATTCACTCAATCCTTCTCCGATGCAAACGTGACTCGGTAGCCCATGGGAGTGTACGGCACGTCAACCTGGAGGCAAGGCCGGTCGACGACTCCTTCAGCTCACCCGGCGCCTGCCACGTCAATGTGCACCACGTACTCGTCCGTGAACAACAGCGTTCTCATGGCGCGCAACCTCTCTGCGAACGCGACCTATGCAAGTGCGACCGCTACGAACAGCTCTGCGACGCCCACCCTGACGCCGGTGACGAACTCGACGCAAGTATCCGCAACGCCGGTATGTCTTTGTTCGCCTCTAAAACCGTTGCTCCCGGACTTAGCGTTTGCTGGCATAGCTACCCACCGCAACACACATGACCATCCCGGCGAGCAGCACCCCAAGCGCGACTGGCTACTCGAGGAAAGCAAGTGGGACTATCGGCCGTGCTCACGTCGACGCTCTCTGGCAACTGCTCGTGGTCCTCGTGGCTGCTCTCGTCGGCATGTCGTTCTGCTTCTGAGCTGGCTCGGGCTGGGACTTGGAATAGATCGGCTGGAGGCTCTGGACTGGACTCACTACTTAGCGCTGGCGCTGGCTTCACGGGCTCTATCTGGGCAAGATGTCGATGAACAACCTACGACCACAACCCGCACTGCTCGGGACATACTACGAAGAACAGGACTCACGGTGGACACGAGGGCATTGACATGACTATAAGCATGCATAGGAATGTTCTTGACTGTACACTCATAACTCGTTACGGGACGCACTGCGCTGCATGATCATCGTTGTATACATTGCTATTCCTCGATATCTGCTCATAGTCTCGTGCACCTTGTGAACGCGGGACAGTGTGAAGGGAAGTATTGATACAAAGCAAGCAACTACGGGTTCCTTGTGTTCCTTCATGACCTATGGATACAGATACTTGCCTTAAGCTTCGAGAGGCAGGATGTCGGGGATTGGCCCGACAGGGATGACTCTGTGCGGGTTGATCTGCGCATCCACGTCGTCAGCACACGCTTCGCCGGAGAGGACACCCAGCCACTCACCATTGGGTGGGACCAGTAATAATGTGTCTTTATATGCTCGAAGTTGCACGTCTCCTTGAACGCGGGGAAGTTCCAGTACAGCTTGCGGAGCCAGAGGTGGATGGCGGGATAGCCGCCGCGGATCGTGCGGATGTTGCACTTGAAGTGCCCGACGTAGACGGGATCGAAGCGGACGATGGTGACGAAGAGCCGGATGTCGGCCTCCGTGAGCTGGTCGCCGATGAGGTAGTCCTTGCCCTGGAGCATCTTCTCGAGCCGGTCGAGCGAGGCGAAGAGGGGGAGGACGGCCTTTTCATAGGCGGCTTGCGAACTCGCGAAGCCGGACTTGTATACGCCGTCTGCGCACCCTGCCGTTAGTCATCTTTGTCTCGCATACACGCGTGGTCTACGCACTGTTCACGGTGTCATACACCCAGTCGTTCACCTCGTCGATCTCCTTCCTCAGCCCCTCGGGGTAGAAATCCAGCTTCGCCTTCTCCTCGGGCAAGAGGTGGTTGAACGACGCGTTGAATATCCGGATGATCTCCGAGCTCTCGTTGTTCACGACGGTGCTGTGCTTCTTGTCCCACAGCACGGGCACGGTGAAGCGGCCCTCGTAGTTGGGCGCCGCGCGAAGGTAGAGATCCTTGACGTGCTGTGCGCCGTGCAACGGATCCGCGTCCGCGCCCGGGAAGGTGTCCGCGCTCGCGAAGGGCCAGCCGTGCTCGCCCATGTGCGGGGAGACGACGCTGACGTCGATGAAGTCCTCGAGCCCCTTGAGCTTGCGCATGATCAAGGCGCGCGTCGCCCATGCTGGATATAGGTCGAGTTAGTAGGGCGCGTCGCACAGTCTGCGGCACGACTCACGGCATGCGTAGGATACGTAGAGGTGGTACCGGCCTGCACTGCACGTCAGTGATACATCCCTGGCGCGATGGACGAGCTGTCTCGCTCACCCTTCTCGGGCTCGAACTTCCCGCCCTTCTCGAGCCAGTCCCTGAACTGGGACGGCTTGCGCTTGAACGTGCCGTCGTCCTCCGTCTTCATCTTGCCGATGTCGGTGTGGTGCGAGACGTCTCTAGTGGTCATGTTGTATCGCGGTACGTACGCGTGAGTCGGTGCAGATGCTCGATAGGCTGAGCGTAGGCCTGGTCTGGAGGAGCGGAGGGCGCGAGAGGTAAGGGGGAGAAGGCGAGCGAGGGGTACTGAGGTCATGCTTCTGCGAACCGCTCGTCTTTATCAGGTCCGGCGTTGGGTCCGAGGGCGAACGCCTAACCAACTATACGTAGAGGATTGGTGATAGACATTGCAAAGAGACGGGTAGGACTTTATAGTGTGACGACCGGTTGACGAGGCTTGCCTTGGAGCGTTGGATGGAGTACCTGGAGGCTGAGAGTGGGTTTCCGTTCCCTGGTTGCTGACTGGGCCCGGCGTTGGGCCCATCTGCAGACGTCCAATAGTGTCGTAACAGAAAGAACATAACGGGATTGAGTAGCTCATCGCGCCACGTAGTCAGGCCCATCCAGCTGCGCAGCCCGACGAACTAAGGCAAAGTGTCTCATACATATACAATGGCTTCACGGCCGTGCTAAGTCGCCGACTGCCAGAAGCCCGAACGAAGGTTTGGATGAGATCAAATGTGCCTCCGAAGTCCATTACAGCATTATGAATGAGAGATATGACCATGAAGCCCTTGAAGATTACGATGAGCACAACCTGAACCTGAACCCAACTTCAGCTGCCCGCCATCCCCGTTACACCAACACGATCACGGATCTTCGCGATCTCGGAGACACTGAGAGAGCCCTTGCTTGCGCAGAAGAAGTCCTCCCAAGCCTGCGCCGCGTCGCTGCCGTTGGGAAACTCAACCCTGGATGGACTTTGTGAGTACGGCATGATGAACAAACGAAACACGAGGTGCTCACTTCAAGAAGGCATACAGATGCTCCCAAAACGCAGGCTGCGCAACGGTCGTGTGGTAGGGCGTGTTCGACGCGCCAGACTGGGAAAGCTCGGGTATGTTGGACGTGTCCAACACGAGGGGTATGTCGATCAACACCTCCCTGGAGACGGCGATAGCGACGGGGAAGGAGAGAGGACAATGGACGGCGTGCGCCCGTGCCCTCCACGGGTTCGTGAAGGCTGCTCCGGAAGCAACGTGATGGACCCTGCTCTCGCCTTCTGTGGCGTCGGTGCAGTGACGGGTGCGAGCGACGTAGACATCTTGGATGGGTCCCAGTCGAAGCCGGGCTTGACCATAAGCGTGACGGTGTCTCCTTCCTTAATGCTGTATTCCTGCAGAAGCTTGCTGTCCGCGAGAGCCTTGCCTTTGAGCAGCAGTCTCTGTGCGTCGGCGGGCGGTGCGCCTGGTTCTGACGCGAGCTGCGCCTTGATGTCAGAGACGGGGTCGGTGGGCTGTACGGAGAGAGAGTAGCTCTTTGGAGGCTTGATAGACTTGAAGGTGATGCTCAGGGAGCCTGTGCGCGGGCTCGTACTTATAACAGCTGCGGGAGTGGGGCAGGGGAGCTCACCTGTGGGCGCAACCTGTGTCACCTTGCGTTCGGGAGGAGGAGGCAGGTCTACCTAAGCGAGGCGGCGCGCGATTGGCCTACAGGCTAAATGATGATCAAGAATTTCACATACCGGTAGCACCGGGACCTTCCTTAGAGACCTCTCGGATGGTTGCTGGAAGTCGTCTGCGTACGTGACGGGCTGCGACGAGAGGTTGTTGACGAACGTCTTCACAAACGCCAGTTCTGCTTGCTCGCTCATTGTGATGAGCCTGGTTAAACGGTGATTATACTGAGATGTTCAGACTGGATGCGCTCGAGGAGTAGAAAGACAGATCAGCGAAGGAAACACAGCTTTAAGGGGACTTTCAATTGCAACTGCGACTTGGCGACTGCACAGGCCGCGATCCGCCTCTGCGGGGCGGTAGGCGGAGTGTGACGTGCGCGTGTCGTCACAGTCACCAGCCCGTCACGCCGGAAAGCCCGGGTGACTGCAAGCGACCTCTCAGCATCGCTCACGACATACCAGGATGGCGGTAAGTGCTCGATATACATTGTTTGAATCTTTACTGAACGTGTTTGCTAGTCTGGCTTTGGTTTCAACGGAGGTATGGCCAGACACTACCGATTTGCGTTCTACCATAACCCATGGACTTGTTAGGCGTACCACGTTGTTTCCCGTACTGGCAGGAGTTCCAGAAGGTGCGTAGTTACTCTGTCATGTTCGTGCGCCCCCTCTAAACACAGCATCCTTGCCAGTGCTATGCTCAGACAGATGTGCCAGCCAAGTGCCGGCCGCCGCTAGACGACTACGTAGAGTGCTTGCACCATACGAACGAGGCACGTCATTCCATCTCCCCACCTTCACTCTCACCTCATCCAACCCATGTCTTGCTTGACACACGCAGATTGCTCGCGCGAAGACCATCAAGGCCGAGTTCATCCGCAAGGCCGAGCACGAGGCGACGGAAGGTCGGAAAGCGGCAGACATTATCGCGGATGGAGCCATCGTTGGTGTGGGTTTGATCAAGCGAAGTCAGGAGGAAGGAGAGTCAAAGTAGTCCCCCGGGCAGCTCAATACATTGCTTTGGACATCTGAGCCCCTTGTCCATTGCGGATTGTTGTGTGCCGACGGTACCCAGGTTCATGCATTTCCGATTCAGACCTGAGTTCTTACAAGAGCAAACTTGCGCAAGGATGCGCTATTTCACCTATGGGCGGAACTGTATGTGTGAGTGCATAGATTCGTCAGTACGCTGTAAATACAATTTCTCAGTTAGCCCAGTAGTTTCTCTGCAATCGCTGGGTTGGACGTTGATGCAGTCATAACAGACTCTGACCTAGATTATACCTGATATGGAAGAATGATCGGACCTGGTCGGAGTTGCAACTATCTCGATCCGCATCGCGAACGTCGCTCGCTCTCGAATTTGAGTCTTGTCTCTCGACAGTGACCGCCCTTCCTCCCACTCATCTCTCTCGCTGTGTCTTGGGTACAGAAATGGCGGCAAATGGTAACGGATCGCTCAGCTCGCCCATTGTCATCTCAGACGACGAGGACGCCGCATTCGTGGAACAGGAACTGGGAGGGTTTGAAGCAAGACTGTCCGACCCCGAGCCGGCCTTCGAACGTCAAATGGTCGACGTGCCCATGTATGACTGGGGACAGCAGGCCCATGCATCGTCGAGCAGAATGCTGATGCAGAATAATTCCAGTAATGGTGGGTCGTTCCATCTCTTTCAAGATAATTTGAGGGTGATGTCCCCTAGCCATGCAAGCGCCCGCGCCTTTAGCTGGCCAGAAACGCAAGCGAAAACAGTATGCGCAGGACGCGGTCCCTAATGAACAGCAGGAGACAAAATCTCAGCGAAAGAAGAGGCGACGGGCAGAGCGGTTGGCGGCTAAGGGGGCGGAACTGGCCACGGAGCAGGACGTGGACATGCAGGACGCCTCCCCTGCTGCCTCTCGTATGCCTGCTAGGATGGCCCCTCTCCCTGACCGTCCGGTTGGTACCTATCGTGACGCCCAACACAGCGGAATCCTGCCTCCTATGTCGTGGTCTGCCTCTTTCTCCGCACATACAGCCGTCATGCCTCAATCCTTTATCCCCTCGCTACCTCTCAAACCACCTCCCTCCATGTCACCCGTCGCGCCACCTCCCCCGGACTCTTTTTCTCCGTTCTCCGCTCCAGCGTATATCCCACATACACCTGAGCGTCGCCAGCAACCTCCTCACATACCCGTTCCCGCGCCTGCTCCCCATATTCCTCTTCCAAAGCCTCTCCCCCCAGCACCCGATGCCACCAGCACCACCCAAATCTCCGTCCCCCAGAAGAAATTGCTCGGAATGCCGCGGGAGTCTGACAGGAGCGGGCTTGGCTTGTTCCCCTCCGAGCTCTTACGCCAGCCACTGCCAGATCCCTCACGCACCCTCGTCCTTGCCCCATCCCCAAGAAGTTCCGCAACCCCGACTTCCTCAGGCACTGGGCGAAGCGGTTCGCTCGCCCGCTGCCGCTTCGCGCCGAAGTGGACAAGGCCGGCAAGGCGCTCGTAGAGTTTCAGAGCGTTGCGCTGGCGGAGATGGCGTTCGGCAGCCAGCGAATGGCGGGCGAGGGCAAGGAGCACATCCGCGCGTGGTGGTACCGCGGAGCGGCGAAAAACCCGGCAGACTTGGAAGAGGGGGAGATCGAGGAGGGCGTCGTGGAAGCGCCAGTGGCTCCTCAGGCGGCGAACAAGAAGATGAGCAAGAAGGACAAGAAGGCGGAGAAGAGGAAAGCTCAGGCCCTCCAGCCGAAACAAAACAAGCCAAGGGCGCCGCCCGCTCTTCCTAAACTGCCTCCCGCGAATGGATCCCGCGCTTTTCCCAACTATAATCGACAACAATCTGTTGCTAGCACGTATTCTGGGGTCCCAATGTCCGTGCCCCTACCTCTACCTCAGCCTCCTCCTATCGCTTCATCGTCCGGTCCGTCGAACTACGTTCCCAAGACTTCACCACCAGCACAGCCGCCTCAACCTGCAGCGCAACCGCCTTCGAGTCCATACGGTTATCGTGGCTGGGCCGACCATCTAGAGCAAGTAGAAAAGTACGGGGTCATGTCATCTGACGATGGTTCCGAATACGAGGGGCCCAGTGCCGAGGCGGAGCGCAGTTGGTACTATTCCGCGGGTCCGAGACGCAGGGACCCGAGCTACCTTGAAGAAGAGCAGGCGATGGACCTCGAATCTGACGACGAGGACTTGCCCGATCCTAAGGAGGAACACTTCATCCAGGAGTCACGATATGGTGTTTGGGGCGAGCCGGCGACGGGTGCGGATGTCACTGCGGCTGATAGCGCATCAATTGCCTCTTCCAGGGAGGCCTCTGCCGAACGTGGGCAAGAAGAGAGGATGCGCGTCGACGACGCTAGCCCAGCAACCACCCGCACTCCTCCAGCAACCGAACACGCGGTCACGGTGCCACAATCATTGCCATCGTCTAGCCGACCTAAACCGGAGGTCACCATTCCCGACTTGCCAGTCCAGACGAGCCGACCCCAGCCACTCTCGCCATCTGCATACACTATGGTGGAGCCTCCGGCTGCATCGGTGCCTGCTAGTGCGTTGACGATCGTCCCAACCGCCCCATCAACATCCGCCACAGAACCGACACATCCGATTGCTGTTGCTTCTCCTTCCACTCTTACGAGTCCAGTCTCGGCCCTGAAACCTCTACCGGCTGCTCCTCTTGTTACATCTCTGAAGGATCCTTCGCTGGAACTGCCGAAGGTCCCCCTGCCACAGCCAGTCGTCTCCCAAAGGTCGGAGTCGGCCGCACCAGCTCTCGCAGAGTCTGTGCCGGTGGTGAGTGCCAAGCGTACACTGCAGGAGAAGCAGAGGGAGCTTGAGGAGCGAATCGCCCGCGCGAAGGAGGAATTAGCGCAGAAGAACATGATATCGAGGGCTGGCAGCAGTAGGCATACGTCACCGGAGGAGGAGAATGACAAGCCGGCGGCCACGAGCAGCCGTGCGGGCGAGGAAGCAATCTCCAGCCCGACGGAGATACTCTCGACCCAAGAGTTGCGCCGCTCGGCTCTGCAGAGCAGGAAGAAAGCCGGGATCGCGTCTATCCCTTCTGCAGGGATTACGCAGGAGAAGGAATCCACAGTGGCCTTGAGCGACACGTCCACAGTCGTGGGTGACGACGCACCTAGCGCTGCCGCAGTTCCGAAAGGCAGCGCTATCAACTTCGACGAGCTTGCGGTTTCATTTATCACTGAGACGCTCCAGACGATGCAGCCATCGCCTCGGTCCGACTCACCTCCCGCGGCTGCAGCGCCTGTACATGTGTCGCAACCTGCGCCTCCGACCGCACCCGCAACGCCACAACCACGTACGTTTACGCAGTCTCATACGCTAGCCAAGTCCAGTCAAGCAGCAGAGAAAGTGCTCTTGGCCGCAAGACAGAAACGACTGGAGCAGCACATCGCGGAGACGAAGGTGCTCATGGCGAAGCTTACCACGGCACGGTCGAAGGCGGAGAAGGAGAACATTCTCGGCATGCTGCGAGAGCGGCAACGGTAAGCCGCCCATTCACGCCCCTCTCCTGCGGACATCGCTGAGTGTTTCACAGCGCGATGGACGGGGACATGAAGGCAGATGCGCCGTTGAAGCCTGTGTCGTCTTCGCCCCCTTCATCGTTCGCCACGAACGGATATAGCCAACCTTTCAAGTCGCAAGCGACGCACGCGTGGAAGACTCACTGGCCTGAGCCCAGCAGAGACGCTATGATACTTGTCATCAGCGACGATGAAGATGACGACTGAGTCGACGGGACAACCGGTAGGTATTAGCATTGGGTTTTTTCTCTTGATTTGTTGTAGAGCTGTATTACCGGACAACGCACAACTCGCGGCCACGGACACTGTACACGCCACAAAGGACAGCCGGAAGTACACTACCTTCTCTACACTATGAACGTCTAATAGCGCAGCCTCTCTTTGACAGGGCATTATGTCCTGCTGCGCTTTGTCGCGTGAGGTGAGTAGCGTCCACTCATCGTCAGAGTAGTCTGATTGTTCCCTACAGATCATTATACCCCGCATTCGATATCATTCGCGAAACATCACTAGCTGTAGAGTCCCGTAGGAGAGATTGCGTCTAGCTCGTCGACGTTTCTGCCCTGGTGGCGCAGGCGCATGGTAGATCTCTGTTCTCGCTCTCGCCGACTGTTCGGGAGATGCGAGGCTCAGTCTGCGTGCCCTTCACCTGCCTGGCGTGTCGGTGGGTTGTAAGCGCGTTGTTCTTGTATTTCGCTGTTGTTTGCTGTGTTATTGTGCCGCTTTCAATGCATGCTATCGTGTCCTCGAAATGGTGTTTAAATTTGTTGCGGCTTCGGTGAGAGTGTACTGTGTGAAGGCTACATCTGTTGACGGCACTGACAGCAAAGATGACGACCGGCGGAGCGCATGCAGTGTCAGACGACCCTCTTCTTGCTCAATTGCCGTGCAGACCTCGTCCACGGAGCTATATGGTAGCTAGCGCACATTGATCGGACATTGAGTGTGAGGCCAACACGTTCTGTGTGGCAGACTGCGCACAGTGCAGCATGGAAGCACTGAGCTTCCATGACTTCGTACAGTCCTGCTGCGCACCAGCTGTTTTGGGGCGCGATGACCCCGCTGCAGCAAGATTTGGTCAAAAATAATCCGAGCAAGGTACGCCTCATGAAGCGATCGGTTCATATCTCAACGTTCACATTCAGGAAGGACATCACTATCGCAATCTGCAGCTGGACAGATTGGTCGTTCGTCGAAATGGAGAGTTCTCGATGCGGCCAGAGCCTGTACCGGCTGCGTGGACTCTTCCATTCATTTCATTACACAAGCGTGGCCTATGCCTCATGGTTGTCGGTTTGTCTGTGGTCCAAACGGTATGGTAAGTATGCCGACTTGAACCCAACGGCAGTCGTGAAGAAGTCGATGTTGACATGAGAAGGCGAAGGTGCACTGGCACAGGAGTTATACATAGCATTCCAGAAAATACAGAATGTGCATCGCTAACACGAGTTCAAAGTCAGGGGTCCGCTGCGATCCATGTAGATACAAACGGCATGCGTTACGCGTTACAAGGAACATCCATGGAACCCATAGCCATTATCTTGCAAATACATCTGTGCCACCGTCACGAAGCCCCCCATTCCTGCCACCATCAAGACAGCATACCACGCCTTCTGGACAACGTTCGGGATGACGTTGTGCTTCTTCTTCCATACAATCCAACACCAGAGCGTCGAGCACGACGAGAACTGGTCAGCTGCCAGCCATGCCATCATCAGCCCCCTCTGAGCCACAGTGCTCTGATTGGGGCGGAAGCCGGTGAGCGCATATATGAAGACGTGTGGTAGGATCATCGCGATGAAGAAAAGGCACGCAATGGTCGTCCCCTCTCGATGTGAAATTTCCTCCAGTTCCCTCACCCTGGATTTGGGCGGAGGTCCGTTGTGGCTGAGTGCGGATACTGTGAAATGCACGGTGGAGCCTCCTTGAACGTTGGGTCCGCACGGGCGAGCCCTTGTCTCTGCCTGCTCTGCTCCAACCGCGATGTTGCCTTCCGTCTTCGCGACATCGCGGCCACTGGGAATGAGGCGGTAGGTCCTGGGCTTCTCGCCGAGCGCATTCACGACGAGGATCTTCTGCTCATGCCCGTTTGTTGTATAGGTCTCCGTGCGCATTAGCACCGCCACGTAGTCTCCTTGGCCCCGCTGACCTATGGCTGACGATTGGGGCATGCTCGCCGGATTGACAGCGCCAATGGTCCCGTCATACTCGGGATCACCACCCTCCGGTCTCCATAAAGACTCCTCGAGGATGGGTGTCCGCAGAAGCTGGGCACACGCGTAGCTGTCGACGATGGCCGCGCAGAGGAGGTTCAAAATAGACATGATTACATATGGAAGCACGGAGAGCCCGTAGGCCGCGTACCCCCAGCGTGGGATCTGGGTCACCCGCGCTTCGTACAGGTTGTACGAGCCGACGCAGATCTGAACGAGCGAGAGCAACACTCCCATGAAGCCTGGGCGGTAGTGTACTTTCAGCCTCTTCGTGTCCTTGAGGTGGTTCTTGATCAAGAGCTCGGTATGACCCTTGCGCTCGGGCACTGCCAGCGTGTACCCTGGCGGGGGATGGGCTAAGCCATGCAACATGTGGTTGTCTGTGTCCGTGCGCAGAAAAGCGTGTTTTTCCCCTTCGTCATCGAGGTCGATGGTGGCTTCTGGCAGTTGATCACCAGTGCGGGCGCTGTATTGACATCGTAAATATGTGCTTTCAGGTTCACAGGCGTTAGGTTCAGCGACTTACTCGTCGGATTTGACAAAGTCGTGAGGTAGCCGAGTATAAACGAATTGGTCGCTCTTGCCAGGCTTCCAATCGGTGTCCCTGACCACGACGAGGAGAGCACCGTGGTGGAGCGCCGCGAGGACGCCGTCGCCTTCGCTTTTCAATTGCTGCGCGACCAGGATGAGTGTCCTCGCGAGCGCGAAGAACGGCAGGAAGAGCGAAATAGTCGTCAGCCATAGATTCCAGAGCCACCCGTCCTGGCGCGTTACGCGCTGCGTGTACCGTCCGATGTCTGCGCCGATCGGTATCGCGGAAGCATGGATAGCGTAGTTGCTGATCAAGTAGCTGGCTAGGTTGTAGATGATGACCGCGTCGGCGTAGCAGGTGCCTGAAGTGACGGAGGCAGCCCCTTCCAGAGGGACCGGTGCTGCACCAGACGGGGTAGCAGCAATGAAGAAGATAAATATGAGCACCAGCTGGAGAGGGAGAATGAACCGCGACACGGCGGAGTGCCAGTGAGCGCAACCGTGAGCCGACATGGCGGAAATCCTCGTCGACTACACAGCTGCCTCACGAGGCCTTAGATTATATACCGCAGAGTCGTGCACGACAGCGCAGCGGCACAGTCAGTGTTCCGCAGTGTAGCTGCATGTCCTTCCGCGAAACTGCCAGGAGAACGCCTGCACCCCACGGTTTCTTTTCGGAGATGCCTGTGAATCCGCCTTCACAATTGATGAGCCTGACCTGCGTTGGAAGCGCCCTCGATCGCACTACATACAATATGTGACCACCAAGTACATTCGGTGCGCTGGAGATCGCGGCGAGCCACAGGTCACGTCATATTGAACTCTGCACGTTCTCAGTGAAGGACTGCAGTATGGCGACCGAGCTAGCAAAGGACCGCTGACATCATAACGAATGTCTTAGCCCTTTGACCATGTCCGAAAATTGATCTGTGCGCGCCAAGCATCGCGATGTTCAGAGAGCCTTCAATAGTTCTAGTTAGCATTAATGGTGACATGCTGGTACATGGTCCGCCGCAGGTGAAGCTCACCTAATGATACCCGCGGTGGAGAGGATGGGTCATCCCATGCCAATATTCCTCGAGTATTTCTTGATGATTTGAGAGGCCAAAGCTTACGACAGCCTTTCGCTCAGACTTGGAAGAGATGATCGCGCTGGCACCGCATAGACAGGGAGATTGCGGACTTGGACGTCCATTTCAGGGATGGCCCACCTTCACCTGGCTGCTTGGACGAGGACCGGATGTTCCCTGTATAAAAATGACGAGTGTCGGGGGGTAATGAGTTTCGCCGGTAAGCACGTAACTTAACAGTCCGCCAATCGACCTTGCTTGACAGAAAGCGCGCCACCGTCAATAACGTTCTTTGGGTGGCGTGGAAATTCACGCACAGATCACAATCTAGGCGCCGAAATACTTACAATTCGAACTTCCAACGTGACGTTGAAATTGACTGGGAGGCTTCTTCATCGGTCTCACAACTCCTCAGGCCGGCACAGACGAATACTTCCACATCCTCGCACCTCTTGTGTACATCAGGCTCATCTCTACGTAATATTCTGGTGTATAAATATTCGTGTGGCAAATAACTGACAGAAAGGCCATCAGACACCTATCCAGATGGTACAATCTGAGGACAGCTGAGCGAATTTCCATTCTCGCTACTGGACCGGTGATCGATTGGCTTCTATATGACAATCACATCCACAGTGAATCGCTGGATCGACATTGAGCACAGCAGAGATATCGGGAAGAACCCGAAGGACCTTCATCCGGTTACACAAGGGTTCGAGACGCTGTGGGCAACGGATTGTAAGTATTCTACATCTTAAACTTTGTTCTCTTTTGCGCCTGACATCTCCTTGCACCATAGCTACATCACTATAGGAAGTACTCTGCGAGGATAAGTATAACTTAACTTGGGCCACGTCTTCGGCCCTCTGAGCGCGGCGTGATGGAGTGTTGCATGGATCCTTTCTCCGCGCTCAGAATATCGCCCTTTACAGCAGCAGCCGTCAAGCCGTCGAGCACGGCAGCGGCCACGTGCCGTGCTGACTCTGCGTTGGCCTGGAGCGTCTTGAAGACCTCGACCACAGTGACCGACTCCTCATGCGGACGCCACGCGTCGTAGTCGGTCGCGGTGTGCGGCAGTCTGTGGTGTACGACTCGGACGTGTGAGCCGTCGGCGTAGTACTACACAGACTCGAGACCGTGTGTGCGTATGTCAGTCTTTGTTGAACACCTGGCAGTATATTATCTCATGTCTTATAGGGTACGATTTATTGCACCATATTTCCAACCTGCCATGCTACATAGTACCCGTGTCCGTTGGTCCGTCGTGTCCGCAGAATGGTAGACGTGGTATCGAGACACATTTCAGATGTTCTGTATCACCGAGCGAAGGCCCCGGCGACGCACAGAACGCTTCGCCGGCGCCGCTCTGCCACCGAAGATGTTACCAGGACCGAAGTCGGGCGTGCCGCCCAACAACCCGAAGATATCCCCGACATAATTCGTCGGCAGGATGCCCTCCTCAAACAGCGTCTCCCACTGCGCGACGATGCCGGTCACGACAGGGACGCCCGCGGCGGGGATGTTCTGGATCGAGATCTCGTAGCCGGGGGACATGAGGAAGAGGTTCGTCGCGGCGCTCTCGCCGTCGTACGGCCTGTCGAAGTCGGACGCGGTGCGCATGACGACGATGCGCGCGAAGTCGACGAGCCCGGTGATAGCGCCGCGGAGGAGCGCCTCGAGCGTGCCGTTGTCCTCCTGCTGCGTCGTGCAGTACGTCGCGGACCCGTTAGTGAAGAGCGTCGTCGTGTTCTCAAACGCGCCCGCGAGTAGGTCGCCTGTCCAGAACACGTCCGAGGTCGCCGTGTCGCACGCGACGACGGACGGCGGCGCGGCGCCCGCGGCGTAGGCGGGGTCGCTCGCGTAGTTCGCGCGGTACGCCTCCGAGCCGGCGTCGTCGAAGAGCTTCCCGGTCTTCGCCATCTCGATGGCGAGCTGGCGGAGGTTGTCGTTGACCTCGAAGACCTCGGTGCCGTACAGCTCCTGTGGGTACTGGTTCGGCGCGTAGGAGCCCTGGGGGACGTACCCGGTAGAGAAGTTGGCGGGCTTCTCGCGCGCGTCAAACTCGTACTGCAGCGCGACCTGCACGCCGAAGCGCGCGAACGTGACGCTGCCTAGGGTGCCGAGCTTAGGGCTTATGCCTGCGATCCCGGCAATGAGGAAGTAGGTGTGCGTGAGGTCGAATACGGGGGAGTGGACGAGGGCAGATATCGTCGAGGCGGAGTTGATCTCAGCTTCTCCAGTAGTGAGCTGGCAGATCGACCCATCCAGTGTGCAGTGCGCCTGGGGGAAGAGTGGAGAGAAGCCCGGGATGGTGATGTTGTGCGCGAGCACGTCGAATTGCGGGATGCCATACCACGAGTCCCCCTCGTCATCAAACTGAGCGGAGAAGTGTGAGCGCAGGAGATTCAAGTCGGAGAGCATTCGCGCTGACCATGTCTATGATGAAGACTTTTGGCGCGATCTTCGCATCGCGGCCCCTCTGGTTCGGGAAGATAGAGAACGCAGTCGCAGCTGTCGGTACCAAGGCGAGCTGCAGGGCGCAGTGCGAGAGCAGCGAGGCGAACAACCACGGCAACATACTCGTAACAAGAGACGTATGAGCTTTCGCAGATGCGAAGTGGATGATGGTCTGCTCACCTGTGACTATGCGATTGCGATATGACCGCTCGCAATGGATGCGCCACGGGCTGGACGACCTTCGCTTCGCTGGCTGTGCTCCGAGCTCTTCTTCATATAGCTGCTCCTGGACACGTCGGCATCACCGCCGTTGACAGCTTGTGAAGTCGGGTGCCGCAATTAACGATGCAGGCACCGGCGGCTGCATTTCCTCACCTGCTGGAACATGATGGTGCTGGCGAAGCGGATACGTCCGCGAAATTGGAACAGCAGTCCAGATGGGACTCCCATGCCTGGGAGTGTGGCCTATATAACATGTGCACTGCGGGACTGCTTATCCGAAGATACGTTCAGGGATTCATATGACAATTTTGGGAGTAGAGTCGCTCGCCCGCCCGAGGTAATCGCTCCCAGGGATAGCCGTAAGCATGCACGTTGGTGGGGTCGGCCCTGAGTGACCTGTGAGATGACGCGCCGTGAGCTGTCTGTGTTCGTCCTCTGAGCGGGCGCTCGATCGCGGGCGGCGGACCCCTCCTTGGACGCTGATTGGCTGGAGCACGCAAAAAAGTTGCCTTCTTTCGATCGTCCATCTCTCTTTCTTCATGCACGACCATACGTCCGCCTCCCCGCGGGGACACTCGGGTGGGCAACGCGACTCCCTGCTCTCAGTAACGGTACGTGCTTACCCGACGCACAACGCGCAGCCTACGTCGACCTGCTTCCACGCAGACAGTGACGCGCCAGGTGAGGTCTCGTCAGCGACGCGTCGTTCCAGCCTCATGTGCCAACTCACGTCGTCGTCGCGCTCCCTGTCACGCCGCCGGCCGTCACCCACCGCGGCTGCATACTCAGCATCTGCTACTAGCTGATAACGCGGCAGACGAGTCGTCAGTCATGCTTCCCTCCGTTGGAAATGCAGCCTTACCTCATTGTTTTAGAGCATACTTCCATTTCTCCGAGCTTGCCACCCTTCCGCCGTCTAGCCGCGTACATGGCCATTAGCTACCAGCTGATGACGCGGTAGACGAGTCTCCGTCAGCCACGCGTCTTTCACTTGTGCATACACATGCTCACCTCGTCGCCTCTAGAGCATATCATGCTTCTCTCTCCTCGTCCCGCCGTCCCGATCGTCTCGTTCATTGTCGCTCTGTGCAAGTCGCCTGCCACGACTACTAGTTGATAACGCGGCAGACGGATCCTCGCCAGCCATGCGTTCTTCGGCATCACCTGTGCTGAACATCGCGAGCGCTGCCTCGCTCGCAGCCACACACGATGCGGTGTTGAGTAAGCACCTCATGGAGACGAATGCGACGTCAGTAGCCGTGCATAAAACACATAGCATAGCGCTCTGTACTCGCCTCCACAGTAGCCCCTCGGCGGCTTCCTGCTCGTCGTCAGCACCCGGGCTGCTACTAGCGACTGGACACCTACCTCGAGTTCCCTTCACCTTGTCGTCCAGCTCGCCGAAACGTGACGTGTCGTCTCTCCGCTGCGACAACTCACCCACGCTACGACCCCGCTCGCCGGAATTCGATACGTCGTGTCTTCGTCGAACCGGGCCTGCTCGAGATGACAGACGTGCGGAGTAGGGCAGGTTGGTCAGGATGGCAGCCAGGCTGGAGATGGCTGCGCGTGCTGGACATCGGAGGTCGGTTGGCCGGACGACAATGCGTCGTGTCTTCAAAGTTGCAGCGTGGTGCATGGGACGCCAGTGTACCGGCAACGACGTGGCCGCCCACCAAGCTCGCCACGACGAGACGCGCGGCTGACATTGTCTTGCTGGACGCGTTTCAGCCAGGATCATCAGGACTCGCTTCGCCGGACGGC